AGCCACGCCAGTGTGAGTTTGTGCACAAATACAGTTGCGCTTGCGAAGTTTGTCAACGGTTGAAGCCTAGTCCTTCACCCCTTGCACCATTGCAGCCTCTACCGATTCCGGCAGAGTGTTGGCAGTCCGTATCGATGGAATTCGTCTTTGGGTTTCCCAAAGACGCTCACAAGAATACTGTTTTTTTGTGTTTGTTGATAGGTTTAGCAAGATGGTGCATCTTTTTGCTGTACCGGAGTCAATCACCCCCGGGCTGTGCTCGTGTCTTCATCGATACTATCTTCCGACTTCACGGGTTACCCCGTGAACTCGTATCCGATAGTGACCCCCGCTTCACAGCGGAGTTCTGGCAATCCGTGTTCCGTTCAAACGGAACACGTTTGAAGATGTCAACTTCTGACCATCCAGAAACAGATGGTTAGACGGAACGCGTCAACCGCGTCCTCGAAGAGATACTTTGAGGGTATGTACACTCGTTTACGAGTTGGAGTGAGTTCTTGCCGATGGCGGAATTTGCCATCAACAACTCAGTGCATGCGTCGACAACTCATACACCGTTCTTTGTGAATGGTCTACGCCACCCACGTTTACCCTCCTTTTTAGAGTGTGACTCTAGTTTAAAGGGGGGTGGACTCGCTCGAACAAAAACCGATCTGGTTCTTGCTCATCACCCGTCGACAATGGTGTCGACGTGACGGATGCCGATGTCGATGCGATCGACATCGATGATAATGATGACGACGATGATGGTATGTTCAGCATCGCCAACGACTGCCACAGTGAGGACGATGACGCCCTCACGGGTGAAGACAACGTTCTTTCAGCAGTGCACACAAAGCGCACTGCTGTTAACAAGGATGAACTGGCAGAGGAATTTCTGCTGACTTGCGAAGCGGTTGTCCGCTTCGTTCAAGACTATATTGCAGATGCACTAGACAGACAGAAGAGAAACGCAGACAAACATGGAAGAGCAAATGTTCTTTTATTTGATGAAGAAGATTTAGTTTTACTGTCCACATAAAATCTACGAAAGCACGCAGTGACAAACGTGGGCAGCAGTAAATTACTGCCCAAGCACATCGGTCGATTTCGTGTATTGCGCCGCATGGGCAACGCATACACGATTGAACTGCCTCATAGGATGCGTACGCAGTTTGTGTTTTACGTTGGACGTCTCCGCCCGTACTATCAGTACGATCACGTTTCGAGAGGCGAAGAACGCCACCGCAGTAAAGGGCTGACACCACCTTCGAGTGGTCCCGTTTCAACGAGCCAGTCTGGTCGACTAGCAAAGCGAACTGCTCGCGAAGAAAAAGAATCGAACGTTCGTATTTATGTAGCGAGAGCGAAAAAGCGGCACGATCGTTCGAACGTTCGTGCGCTAAGGAATTTTAAGTATCCTTTACAATGTCATGAAGCTCATAACGCCAAGTCCGTTCATGAGCCAAGTCACCGTGTAAATCTTCCGTTACACGGTTCAATTCCTGAACATCAAGTTGATCCGACCCTCGAGCCGTATTAGGTGTTCTCGCCACCACCACATCCTTTGGTGGATTCTGGCGGTGGTCAAAGCTTTCTGGTGAAGCGTATTTTGAACCACCGCGACGTGAAGGGCGTCCGGAAGAGTTACCTCGTCCGCTGGCGTGGCTATCCACCGGCCTGGGACAGCTGGCATTCTAGCGCCCAGCTGCTTGTTGATGTTCTGGGTCTCGTCAAGCAACATGACGAGACTCACCCGCTGCGTTCGAAGAAGGGCTGTCGGAAAACGACCTCCCCGAACGCTAATACAGGGATTGCAAAATGTCAATCCCTTCGGCCATCTCCGAAAATATGCGCGCCTTCCACTTAGGGAGCATCAGGGAGATATTCCTTTCCCAAAGGGCACGATACGCATTGTCCAGACAACTTGGACACGAATCACCTCATGAGAGACAGGGTGACACTGCCTCTCTTGACGGTCGGTGCAATTGGTATCGCTCCCCGACTAGTTTACGCTTTTCAAACCTGATGCAAGCTGCATCAAGTTTACCGAGCCAGGCCTTACGGCCAATACACTGATGTTATGGATGAATGATTTCCATCCTTGCACCAAGACCTTACCGTCTCAACAACAGTTAGCGTTGTACCACCGATGTTTAAAAATCACAACGATGAAGAACTCTTCCTCAGCACGGATATTTTCCGTGCTGGAATTAGGAGGACAGATCCTCCTACAGTCGATTAACGTGATTCGATCCCGTTCGGTGGTCATACTGTCCAATCTTTTTAACTCCTTGGATGGCATCATCCAAGGAGACTTCACTTGAGGAGCGTGGCGCAGGACATTTCGGTCCCTGGTCTCTTGAGTGGTGTCAGCATGAGCACTGACACCAGTAGCAGCCTAATCCATTGAGTTGGTTCTCTTGTGGTGACGCTTAGTTGCGTCACCATCATCACCGCGCGCCTTATCGTTGGATGGGCTTGCGTGAGACGAGGATTCGTCAGAAGAATCGCTCGGTCCGAAGATCTCGTACAGGATCCGCCACGTTCCCCAGATCCAATCAACCTGGCTCTTGTAGTATCCGCCCAGGATGATCCGGAGGCGTGAGGTTTCGCCTTCGAGTCAGATGCATCATCTGACTCGCCAGAATAGATGGGCTCTGTTTCAGGCTCATTCGCATTGCGAGTCGCAGCACCCGATGCAGACGCAGCAGGTGTATCTGTCTCAGAATCACCACATGTACTACTTACAACAGGTACTGCCTGTTGCTGAGTCACAACAGCAGGCGAAGGATCACCTGCTGCTGAAGCAAGGGAAGAACTTTCTGCGGCAGCACACCGCATGGACTTTCATACCATGCGGTGTTTTGGCAAATGAGTTGGAATTTGACCAACAAGTGCTCCCCTTCCCAGAGAGATCTATCGGTAGCGACTCTTTCCCGATCAACTAAATTCAATGACTGGGTGATTGATGGTCAAGGGGGGCGATGTAACGGGGTAGTCTGTTACATGATATTGACACCAAACGGTGTCAATAGGGAGATTGTCTAGCATGACAATTCCCTGCCAATACTACCCGAGATGGATAATATTGAAGGAACGTTATCCTCTTTGGATAGTATTCATGCGCTACTCAAAGATTTGCTGATAAAGACGTATCAACCAAAATTACCACTAATTGCTGCTAGATACGCGTAATGAGTGGTGAGCAGGTTGTCGTCATGCAGCAAAGTCGATTGATATAGTTAGATGAAGATTGAAGTTTTGTTGATAGCTTATCTTTATTAAATACAGTTCTCTTTTTACCTTTGCTAAAACTAGCCGTTTGAGTAGATAAGCTTTCTCTGCACGTACTAGTGTACGCGAAGTTTCGTGACACCCCAAACAAAAAGGTGCCCCGTTGCAATCATCAACAAACTACCTTTAACAGAATCTCTCCATCGAAACCAATCTAGATCGTGTTGGCGACGCACAAGTGTTTATGTGTGGGGCCAATTGTGGGTGGGAGATTACGATGACCTGTGGCTTGAACGCACTTATTCAGCGAGGACATCGGTAAGCAGATTGGGCTGTGGAAAGAAGTGCGGATTTCGAAGGAGTCAGTACCTTGGATGCCGAATAATGAACTGTGTTACACCGACGACACTTATCGAGTAGGAATTAGCTTTAAATGTAGATCGTAACGTCGATGAGCAAGCGCCAGGGCGACTTGCATCTTACTAAAAACACGAAATTGAGGTGTCAACTTTGAGCGACTATAGAATTGCTTCGATTATCATCAGTGGTAGTCAAGAATTAGATCACCATGTGAGGAAGTCAAAAGCCGACATCACAGATTACATGTAGAAAGCGGTGATTCTACATCAAGGTGGAGACAAAGTGGTGGATGTAAAAGAAGTTGTCGAACACCATCGAAGCTTTGCTGCGCCGGATGCTGTGATCGATGTCCAGTTGCAAGCTTCGTACTTGTTGATGTATGCACGATCGATGCACGGTCAACTAAGCTGGCTGTGATTTTTAACGGACAGGTGACGAAACAGCGAGGATGTGGCAGGGTGTAAACAGTTCACGTGCATCCTGAGACTTCTAGAACTACCATAAGCGATTATTCTAGAATTCATCAAGATCAGAGAAAGGCACAACGTAGATTAAGCGAACACGACGTGTTAGTCCACGGAAAGACAAATTCAATCCACTGTCCCATTTTCCTTTGACTTAACACTACTTTCGTTTCTTCAGAATGAGATCGAGCAGCATCACTGCTGTTGGAATCCGTTGAGTCGTTATGCGATCGTTCGGTAACGGTGGGCATGGTCATACATACTTAACAAAGGATCTTTGCGGACAGGACGTATCGAATAGTATGTTGCACTTTTAGGTCTTCGTATGAGCAGGGTATAGAATAGGAATATGACCCAGCAAGTTCCGCTACTTGCTGGACCAGCATCCTAACAACTGGTATTTCTACATCCGACCCAAAGATTGCGTCTTTTTCTGTAGACCTTTGTCGATTTTAGGTACAAGGAATGGACATACCACAATTTACGTCAAGGAACGTGCGTGAGTTATCACGGGCAAAACATACACACTCAAAACATACACCATTGCACAAAAACACAAGAATTAACTAGGGCGACTTGAGCTACTTGCAGCAGACTGTCTCGAGTGGGTACACCGCCGGTGGCTTTGACGTAAGGTATTCGGTCAATCTGGCGAATGAGGCGGGCAAATATATTGGTACAAACAGCGCCGGAGCAGCAGTACAAGTACTACCCACCAGAGTACACATGTTTATCAGCGAGTCCACAGCTACATCCTTAGCAGCCTCGGTCTACATGCAACAAGCATTCTTCAGTTGCGTTTCTTGTCGCCGTAGCGGTCGCACTTCAACAAAAACGCCCCTCAGTCAAATCCGACACTGCCGCAGCCAGGAGATCGCTTTACAGAAGCTTCACAACCGAGTCCGCTTCGACACGCCTTGCTTGGGTTCTTGTGCTCATTACCACATCCACTTCCGCATCTTATATGTCGGCCCAGCAGGGCTGCTTGTCTGATAGAACGTAAAGCAAATCGTTGCCCGAGATGACTTCAAAGGGCTGCGGGTTCACGTACACATAGCCAAAAGGCACACTGCGGTCTCTCTCAGGTACTTCAACACGTGCCTTGGGCTCTCGCTCAGTCGTAGCGTCCATGTACGCATGGCAGCGATAAAGTCCAATCACCAAGATGTCATCCGATGACAGCAGGTAATGAAAGGCAAACTCAAACGAGCGACCGACAAAGTCTAGCGGTACTTCCACAGCGAAGAGAGAGCTGCGCTGGGTCCCTGTTTTCGACTTGTCTCCACGCAAAGCGGCCCAGGCGTCGCTCGCTCGGGATGTGAACATAAACTCGCCCAAGATCTTTTTGATCTGCCTGTTGAAAAACTGGTTGATCAGCAGACTGTCACACAGCGATGTGCTATATGTCAGGCCAGACGTAAATGCTGGCGAGAGGAAAAAATTGCGCGAGAATGTCTCCGTCGAGGAAAAAACCGTAAGCTCATTCTCACCGTCCGGACCAGGAAACCAGCCGTTCGCCAACAAGTTCTGCGCTATGAAATGCACACTAGCGCGATTCCCCACCTCTGTAATAACGCGCGGCGCCTTCTTCACACCGATAAAGCTTGTAATAAACTTGTGGAACGCGATAGATTCCTAGACAAACACGACAGCACGGTAGTCAGCGTCCGTGAGATAACAGCTTACAATACACAACACTTCGATCTTACCGCATCCTGAAGCAATTCAGAGCCATTGTCTGACGTAGACGTGGAGGTACTTAGAATTAACACGCGATGAGCATCCAAAACGCCTGCCCTGTACAAGGTTTGGTGTCGATATGGGTCACCGACGACGAAATGGACATCAGAGAAGTGGCGGAAACCATCGTAAATATCGTCAGCGGGGAGCTTCGCTGTCAGGATCACCACCGGATGGTACTGTTTCAAAGAGCGAGTGCGGAGAGGTCCAAGGAGATGCTCTAGGTCATTGACAAAAGCTGATGCTGTGATCATACAGATCACGATGGGAGCAACTTCTAATCTAAGCTCCTTTATGTCATCGATAGCAGCGTCTTTCGCGCACTTCGAGTAATTCGTGGCAAGATGAGGCGTCTCAACCTTTGCTTCCTGCTCTTCAGTGTCCTCTTCAGGCTCGAGTTTTTCATCGTCTCCGACCTGCCAGTGCACAAAACGCGCTTCGTGCCGTTTGACAAAAGCGTCGGCATCGTGACCATCACTACCACCAGTTATGCTGCGTGTAAATGACGAAGAAGACGAAACTTGCATTTCTCGCCATGCCAGCGGCATCGACACATTTGGCGATAGTTCTGTTAGTGCGCTGGCATTGGCCTGGGTCTGAGCAATCACGTAAGCCGTCTCGCCGCCCACGCAAGCGTACGAATCGCCCGGGTTAAGAACCACTTTGCCTTTGTGGTCTCCTGCGATGGCAAAAACAATGATTCCACTGCAATGGGAATAAGCGAGAGAAGCCAATTCGGAAAAGGTTTTTCCTGCAATCACAGATGCCGGTGGCAATTCCACCACATAAACTTCGTGGCTCGCTCCGAGCAAGTATCGGTCGGCCCAAGAACCCTCGCCGTTGTTAATAGCTGTAGAACGGTTCGCACGCTTGGCATCGCTTCGAATACCATCATTGTTGTCGCCATCAAAACTCGAGGTCGACGTGAGGCTATACATGAAGGTCGAAAATCCAGGACATATACAGTTTTGACCAAGCAAAGACATCACAACTTCTGAGAGGCATAACACGTTCTGAACACCCATGTCACGGACCAACTGACAGTGAACGGATCGATGAAGCTGTGCAAAAATGTGCACCTTCGGGGCCTGGCGTTTAGCCGCAAGCACACGCATCAAAGTACGGTGATCGCTGACAGAAACTTTTTCGTCACCCACACGGTTCGTCAAAATGAAAATGGCGTCTGCAGAGTCACACGCCGCACGCTTCGCATCGTCAATATCAAGCAGCGATCCCTGAAGAAACCACACGCGCTTCGCAAAGAATGGGTCCAAAAGCAGCGCTTTAAGCGACGTGGCTGGAGGGTCCTCACTTAGTACAACTGCGTGAATGCCAGCGAAATCGTGGTCGTTGTGAAAGATCTCATGAAAGAAGTGACAGATGCGCGAAGCAGTGAGATCACCACAGAGCACGACGTGCCGGCTGTTCGACGAAGGCTTGTAGCTAGCTTCCTCATACGCTGACACGGAGTTGCTCAGGTCCATCACATTTGAAATCTGGTACGGGATGACGAGGATGAAGACGCAAACGAGCACGCCTACAAGACCTTGGACAGATTGTTGTCGGATGGCGGTTTGTCGATTGTCACGAATGTCATCACGGAGTTGAAAAACGAGTTAAAGAAGGTCCACTCGCCGAGGTTCTTGACGGAGAGCATGCCATCCATTGTCTCGGCGATCTGAATGATGCCAGCAGCACCCAGCAAAATGCATGCAATCTGCAGATAGCACAAGAATGCAAACTGACGCACCGGAGTCAAGCACGCATGGCAACGGCTTAGCACTGCTTTGCCAGTAAAGTAACACATGGCAAAGCGCACGGGGTAGACAAAACGCCACCATGACTCGCCGTACCAGAAAGTGCTACGCAACAGGAGCAGTGTGTGAGTGAGTAAGTTATACACAGTAACAAACAGGAAAAGCAATCGAACATCACGCAACTGGTAGCGGATGAAGAAGGAGGCCGGAAGCACCGGCAAAATGTTCACAAGGTAGACAAGTGTTGTGAGCGACAGCAGATATTCCTGGCGTCGACTTGCAGCACGATAAAGTCCCCGGAAGACAAAGTCAACGGTGAATAACGATGCGCAGATCAACTCGACGACCCAAATCGAATGGGGCATCTACATCCACAGCAACAGTTTCACGATATAAGCAGCGACAAGTGGATCTCTAATTCCATAGCACTTACACTGTTATAAGGAATGTACGTGTTGGCGACGTATGTGCCAGCAAAGATGACCGAGACGAGCGCCATGAAGCTGTCAATAGCAGCACCAAGGTTCCCATTGTCCAAGTGACTATGCTCCATTCAGCGCACATCCCTACGTCAGTCCATCTCTACACATTTGTTCAATCACATTTTCACGCAGCACACTGTCTCTATAGAGTGAACAAGTCACAGACCGACTCAAGCGCTCAATGTCGCGCGCAGTTCCAAAGATTCCGAGTTTGTCAGAGTGCGACGCAGCTTTAGCTCGATGCGATTGGGGCTACGAGGAAAGACACGGACAGGTTATTGTGGGTTACACGGGTGTTACAATCGAGAGGTGGATAGATGTTAGTGCTGGATTGACGGACCTCCGATACGCTGCCGTATCCCGAAGCATTGGCAAGCAGCGACTGCTGCTCCATGGAGGTGGATACACTTGCGGATCCGTCCAAAAGTGACGAATATTCCTGATAAGGGGATCGATAGTCCGATTTTCTGACTTTGCTGGCTGTCGTTTTGTTATAAACATAAAATTCATCCGACGATATTGAGTACCGGTACTAGTACTGATTTAGGTGGTACCTGATACCGGTTCGTTGGACTCGGCGTGTTGTGACGCTTTATTGATCCCTTGGCTCGAATGGAGACAATCGACACGGAGGATGCAGCCATTCTGTCGTATCAAGACTTTTGCGACAAGTATATGGTGCTCAATCGTCCTGTGCTGCTTCGTAACGTGACAGCCAAGTGGTTTACAAAGACCGAGCAATGGCGGAAGGGTCTCAGGATTAATCTACAGCATTTGCGGGAGCACTATGGCAGCGCTTTAGTACCGGTACGAATGAACACTCACTCACTTCGTGCATACAAAGTTCTAGCTAGATTTTGGACTGGGTGAATGGACGGTTCACAGTGTAATTATGACGTGATTTTTATGTGTCATGTAGGTAACCTGTGGTGATGTGGCGGAGAACGGGGCAGAGCATCAATGGGAGATGAGACTCGGTGAGGAGAAGAGCGTGAAAATTGGATCGATATACAATGGACGAGGCTGATGTCGCACAGATGAGTACCTGGATCTTATTGAAAGTGAAACAGCAGGTAAAAAGTATCTAAAGGATTGGCACTTCGTGCACGCATTTGGTCAAGGCGTCTATGAGTACGACAGAAAAATTGTTGGGGGCTAAACCTGGCAGCATGCACTTTGTTAACGAATGTTATTGATGTAAGCTGCAGTACACCACCTTTTTTCGAAGATGACTGGCTTAACTGGTAGCATGACGGGATGGTGATACAGTTTTGGGTTAGGGGAGGCTAAAGACTCATGATAGCGGTCTCACCTGCTTTACATAGGTGGTGGGATCACAAAAAGACGAGTGAGAGTGATTACCGATTTGTGTACTTAGGTAAGCTGACAATTGCGCCATTTGCCGAATTTTGTAAGTGACATGTGTTACCTCAGGCCCGGCTGGAAGCTGGACGCCGCTCCATCATGATGTATTTCGCTCATATAGGTACCGTGCGCTTTCGTATCGTTGCTGGCGATACGTTTTTTGAGACCAATAGCTTTGTAACAGCTGGTCGGTGAATATCTGCGGCCGCAAAGAATGGATCTTTTACCCACCGGAAGATGTATGTATGTGTTGTCAGTGATATCCCAAAACTCTCGCCAGCTTGATGGTTTTTAGTGCTGGTATCGTGGAGCAGGAAGTAAAGCTGAAAGATCGTTATGGTCGTTTTGTCGTTCCTGATGTGACGGCTGATGTGATTGATACAACAAAATATCCTCGTTTCCACGAAGCACATGCTATGTATGTCGACCAAGAAACGGGTGACGCCATCTTTGTCCCTAGTGGTTGGTATCACCAAGTGAAGAATCTGGAGGATACGATTTCTATCAACCATAACTGGTTCAACGGGTACAATATCCGCGAAGTATGGGGGTTCTTGAAGCGCGAGTATGCTGCGGTAGAGCACGAGCTGGATGATCTGAAAGAGATAGGGCTTGTTGGACGCGACTTTGTCGACCAGTGCCAGGTGGTCATGCTTGCCAACACTGGAATGAACTACGTCGAGTTTCGGGAGCTTTTGTATGCCAAGACCATCAAGATGCTATCACGGTGTGAACACCCAGAAAACAGCGACACAATGCTCGTCAAAAGGGATTTGCTCAGCCACTTGGGATACGTAAGCTTATCCGATACTGAGTGTAAGTTTCTGCTCGATCATGACAAACTCTGATAGTGTTTGTCGTGTTTGTGCAGGTGCGTGATATCCTGCGGCAGCTGAACATAGTCTTAGGTGGTGCTGGCAATGGAATCGACGCAAAAGTCGACCAGCGCTGGACCGATGTGGACTTGCAATTGGAGATATTGTGTGATGCTCGCAGCGGGGCCGCAAACTAAAGCAGTAGTGGCGGTATAGAAAAGAGCACATACAGTGTGCACTGCAATGACAGGACAAATCGAATTAGTTTCCCGTGCAATCAGCATCTAAACAGGCAGCGCAGTTGTCGTGTTCGACTCCAATATGCAGATTTAGAGGCGGTTCTTTGAATACGCTCCGAACGGTCAGCGCTTTTCTGGAAGTAAAGCAAGCGAGCAGATATCGCGCATGTTGCACATCAATCGGTGGACAAGATAGTTTGAGACCGTTCAAGCAAAACCAAAGTGCCAATCAGCTCGTTCACGCCTATATAACGATTTGGTAGACTCCTCGGCATTCATCCCGTTCATTGCAACCTCTCAACTCAATCAAAACTATGGCTTTCTTCGTCTCTTCAGATCGCTACAACCTCCGATTCGACTCGCACAGCATACTAGAAAGCAGACATCTGTCGCCAGGAATACCAGCAAGTTCTCAATTGGACACAAGTCTAAATGTTGAGCTGGCCACTCCATCACATCGACTTCTACATCCCTAACCGATTCATGTAGGATACTTGAAGCTATGGATGGACGTATCGACTTACTAAACGCCATACATGAAAGTCATACGAGCATTCATCACGTCTATCCTCTATCTCTCCACGCGCTCTTTACATCTTTATTTATTCCAGGATACTAAATGTTTCGACAAACCAAACACGGAATGCAAGTGAGCAGCAAGCCGTTGACAAATTCGTTGTGCATATTAGAAGCGAGGAGACACATAAGCACTTGAACTAGTTCCGAAGACAACTATGAGGCGAGCGTAGACATATCTGCTCGCAAGACTGTGAATTGACGTCAGTGGGTAAGCAGTCGCTTTTGCGAACGAATCATTGCAATCGATACCATAAAAGCAGTTGGTGCCCTCATCTGCTCGGATGGAAGAGTGTACGTGCGAGTATTAAACACGATCAACGATCACCATTAATCCCGCGTCGTTGCTTCGTGGAGACGTGCATAGGTTGTAAGTCTTGCATGTCGATCTTGTATCAACTTTACGTCGTGGAAACAGGTTTTCCACGAATGCGACTCTTGCATAACATGGCAGATGTACAGACACCGCATTTTCCGAAAGTTGGTGGTATGCATGTCGTGCCGTCAGCTCTTGACTGCAGGACGAGAGAACATTCGATTCGCATGATATCGCGTGACGTGTAACACCAATTGGCGCCGACGAAGGCGGCACTCGAGCATCTCAGCCTTCCGATCGTTGCGGTCACCGCCATCTCAAGCAGCACTTTAGTTTATGCTCATCGGTACCCGGTGCTTCTCTCATCCGTTGCAGCTGCATCTTTACAGCGATGCGTAGCTTTGTTATGAGTCAATTGTGAGTTCAGGGCATTGCCATTGATGCCGGTAGCGATAGTCAGCACGCTGGTACTGACAGCATGTTTCGTGAGGAGATAACGCCCAAAAAAGCACGCGAGCGTTGCGACGTGCTCAACTGTTAAGCACGTCGCGAGTGGCTGAACGCAAGTTCCTTTGTTGGCTGCGATGTCGCAGTCAAATCAATCTTATCAATGTGCGAACACGGATGAGGAGCATAACGCACATCGTTTCTTCTTGGCAGACGACGTTCGTGATGATGTTGACGTCGTTAAAAGTATTCGACTCCTGATACGACGTCGTTAGCTTGGACATTTGTTTACGTGGGGAAAGCTTTGGTCGGAAAAAGAATGCGGGTGTGGCGTCAATGTAGCGAATGCGACGGAGGCTTTGTGAGAAGGATGGTGTCGAAAGCTTTAGCTTGATGCGTTTTACACGGTCGTTTTACTTTTGTATTGTGACGGCAAGCACGAGGAAGAAGGAAGATGTTACATCAGTTACGGCTGAAGACGACCGGAAAACCGTGTCGAAACCGTGCGAATCCTCAAACGAATGCTATACCTCAACTAAGTCCAGGCATAGCATTCGTTTAAGGATTCATGTCGTCGCTGCCATCCCGATTAGCTACTGGTCCAGTATCTTTGTCTTCTACAGCTTCCCAGCTTCCGCTATCTCCTTCTCAAAAGCTCAATCTTTTTTTCTGGTTAGTGTTTGCGAAACCGGAATCCGGAACGGATGAAACGGTGACTTCTGTCGCAAAGTACCCGTGAAGGTGCGTCGAACCGTCACTCATTGTCCACTTTATCTTTTTCTCGATCAAATCGAGTCGCAGTTGTCCATGGCATCACCTGAAATTCAAGACTCGTCTCAGGCTTCCGACAGCGGAGGCGATACAGTTATCGCGCAATATCTGGTTACCAAAGTGGCATGGTGGGCGACGTATCCACGGATCCTCATCGTCACTTCCTCGACGCTCAGTACCTACGATCCCGAAACATTCCATTGCACCGACCAGTGGGGTATCGCTGACATTGAAGCCGTAGAGCTATCACAAGCCAAGAACCAGTTCGTGCTTCGATTCGAGAAGTCCCGCTTTCGCTCGGCCAAGTTGAAATTTGCCTGCTCTGCTCAAAGCCATCTGCTGTCCTTGCTAGCTCGTCTACGTCGACAAGCGCAAGGGAAGATACTCTTGTACCGACTCTTGGGTGCTCGCAGACTTTACTTTCGTTGCATTGAGCAATTCGCTGATGCTTCAAACAAATCGCTCTTCTTGCAAGTCACGGTCGCCGGTATCGTCCTTTTGAACGAAAAGGGTCGACGTCTGCAAAGTTTACCATTCCTGTATCTTCGAAAAGTAGCATTCTCAACGGAGGATGAACAGGGGATGGTCCTCACCACGGCGTTTCAGAATCGGATCTTCCTATGTGGGGAACGACACGATTGTTTGAACGAGATCGTGGCTGCAGCAAAAGAGGCTGGGGTCGTGCTGGACAAGACGTCGAGTGACCTCACGGCCCTGCAGCTTCGTCTGCGCAATACGCAGGTACTCAATCGTCCTTCGTTCATCCGGTTTGACGTGAAGAAAGCGAAGAACACAGAAGGTCGCGGCGACATCTCTCCAGACGGCGAGGAAAGTGACGGTGCAAAGAAGCGGTACAAGGAGATTCAACTCATCTTGCAAGGGGATGCGGTGGTCGAATTGCATCGCTCTATGCGCATGGTCATCGCACGTCCATACAGTGCGCTAGTAGCCATTGTGCGCCCAGATTGGGATCCACGAATGCTGGTGCTGGACTTCAAGCAGGAAGATACACTGGTCCTTGACGTCGATGGTCGTGATCAACTTATCACCTTGCTACTACTGGTGTGCCGCGAAGCAGGTTACCACAACGTCGTTCTCCTGTCTTCTGGTCTCAATTATAGCCGATTTTATCACCCCCATGCGGTTGACAACGCAGCACGCAGTGACAGCAACACTGCTGGAACTCTGATGGAAACGTTTCTGCTCACACGTATCACGCAAACGGGCTTGGGAGCGGAAGATAACAATGGTGGGAGGAGCCGGGTTAGTAGCGTGTGGTCACCTCGAAGGCGCCGTGGAGGAAGTGTGACTCCGCGTGCTTCTCACGGAAACAATTACACGGCAGACACGGACGAGAATGGACGTGGCAGTTGGTTTCAGCGGCACATTCGAAAGGACAGGTGCGTAACCGATCCCATCCACGAAACACGCACTTCCATGGAGTCGAGAGTGTCCATGAATGACAGTGTGAGCATTGTCGTCGCTATGGAAGAGCTCAATGCCAATCTTCTGCTCGATGAGCTCACCCGAAGCGAGGTGAAGCAAGCTGAAGTGGTGAATAAAGCCATGGAGCTCGTTTTTGAGCACCTCGTGACATTGATAGCTTCACTACGACGATACGGGGAAATTACCAGCTCCGAGCTTCCGACCACTTTACAGGCACTGCTACGTTTATATCATCATCCAGATGCCTGCTTCACGAATGAGATGGTAAGCCTTCCACCCACCTGTTGTCTGCATCGTTTCAGCCTTTTAACACTCGATTTGCTTGTTTGGACAGATACCACAAGTATATGACGCTGTACACGAGCTTATCTTGCAGCAAGATGTTCTCACATGCTACTGGTGTCTCCGACTGCTACAGTGCTTCCTGGTCGTCCGAACTCCGAATGTCTCGCCTGACACCGACGCGGCGGGTAACCAGCGTACAAAGATGGTTCAGCACTTTGTCCACCACAAGACACTCCAGCTCGCCGTTGCGGACCTCATCCCAGCCTCCTTTGCTGCATCGAGCTCCACGTCATTCATGGCAAACTCGTCTACCATCGGAGCAGCATTCTGGACAGCAGATTCAAATACTGGGAGTAGCACTCCATCCAGCTACTCGTCAGCTCACTCCTCAACTTTGTGTACAAAGGAAGCACAAGTACAGAACGAGATCAATGTGGTCTTTTACGAGACATTGCTCACGCTGCACCACCTCGTGGTGCACATGCGAAGTGCTGCAAAGAAGCATCGCGCGGTACGCGACCGGCAAAATCACGATAAAGCACAAACGCGCCACAAACGCGACTTGAACGACGTCCCAGTTCAGACGCCGTCAGATGTACTGGCACAAAAGCTACTGGGAAAGTACCAATTTCTCATGGACTCAATTGTGGATGTACGTCTCGGACGCGTCGCCGAAACGTCGGTCGCACTCGTAAAATTCGTGTTGAACCACTTTTCAGCCAAGACACCTGCGATTCTGCTCAAACTGCCATCAAGTGACAGCCAACTGTCATATCTAAGTGAGAAGTCTGTTGATTCTCCAAAGAAGTGGCTGGCCACACTTCGTTCTTTCCTCGACGACTATGAAAAGGTATCCAAAAGCAGGGCGGAACCCCGATCACTCAACTTTGGTACCCAGAAGACGATCGAAATGCCCGTGGATGTTGCTAGCTTTGGAGCCAACGAGTGCATAAAAGCTTCAATGGAACAGTTGCTCAACCCAGGTACTACAAACGGCCTTGCAGCCGTCAACTCGAACGGATCCATGAGACTCGAGTATCTAGACCCGAACGATCCGTCAAACTCACCTCTGAAAGAACGAACTCGTGCAAAACCATCGAAGCCGAGGCCCCATCAAAAGCCGATAGCAGTGCAACAGTCCAAGGAGCTTCTGAAGCAGCCAAACAATATCAAGACAGGCGATCCCTTCGCCCCAAGATATGGCCAGCCGCAGCGCCAAGTCGTTACAAGTCCCACAAAGTCCATCCGTCGTGGTCCCAGAGCAAAGGTTGTCATTGTAAGAAAACACGCTGGCATCGTCCGTCCAAGATTGCAAGCTCAAGCGGCTCCAGGTATCGTTCGTCCAAGGTTTCAAGCTCATGCGGCTCCAGGCATGGTCGGTCCAAGATTGCGTACTCATGCGGCCCCAGGCATAGTTGGTCCGGGATTGCGTGCTGATGCACCTCCAATAGTGCGAGCGAAACGCCCAGTTGTCCAGCCGCCACTTGGATCGCGTCGAACCACGAATAAATGCAATGCGTGCACCAGGTGTAATGATGTGTGCATCGACGAGCGCTGCATTTTCTGTGCAGATAAGAAGTACCAGTTGAAAGTGACGTACGGGGGACCTTCCGGAGCCGTCAGGTCCACAGCGCAGAAAGCAGCACGGCAACATCGTACACCATCGCCAACTGACAGCTCCTCCAAAGTTGAGCGGGAGTACTCGTGCTGCGAAACGAAGCGACATCAAAGCACGCGTTCATGCTGGATCCGGGTTGACGACAGTGTGTACGACGTGACAGACTTGCTCGGAGTACATCCTGGAGGAGCACAAGTTCTACTAGAAGCTGCTCAGCATGGTGGGGATTGCGGCCCCATCTTGAAGACGCATCCACCGGTGGCACAGAAAATGATGGTGCAATATCGGCTTGGACGGTACTACGAGTGTAGCATGTCATAGATATCACCCACTTCATATAAGCTGCGCTATGACATTCTGCTCAATGACCGTTACGTTAAACGACCATCCACTCACGCATGTACCATCAGTCACTTGTTCTTCTTGAGTTTCTCCAGCGACCGCATTGTTGCCTTCGCCATTATGGATGTCAGCTGAGCAACTATCGCTTCGAGAGCTTCCACATGACAAGCGCATTGCTGTGGGTACTTCGTAATCAGCGTGAAGACGACGGTGGTGAATTTGAGAGAGCCACGTAATCGCTCAGCTTCTGGTTGCTCAAGAACGGCCTCGCACGCTCCGACAAATCTATCAACCGTCAACGATGACAAAATCGGCTTGGCGTTGAGAATGTTCTGGAACACCAGCAGAGCTGACTCGTTGGCAAGCAGATGTGTGCCTGAGCTGGTTTCATCGTTGGCAGTCACTCCTGCTAGGCTTTTCTGAATAAACTCATCTAGTTGGTCAGTTAGCGCTGTATCAGGGTTGCACAGGATCCGGGTTATTGCTTCGGCTTGTGCTGGGCCAACGGTCGAATGCTCGCCACCAACCAAAAGCGGAAGCAGCAGTGAATCAACCAGCGCATCAGCGTAAGCCGAGCCAAAGAGGAGTGTTGCTTGCAGCAGCGTACGCGGTATCACGGTTTCAGCGGCTCGAATTCTTGGCAGGACACTGGTTTTCAAAAAAATTGCCGCGTATCGTGAGCTCCAGTTGGAGGCGACCAGAGCACTGTGACAGCAAAAGCGCACGGCAGTGTTAACGTAGCAGAGCAAACTATCAACTAATTTGCCGCATCCTACCTGATGACACAAGCAAGCGCGTCGTCGCTGGTGGAATGCATCCGCAAAATCCCACAAAGGTGCTGGAAACTCTGCTCATTGGCTGCATATGTAGTATGGACGTCGTTGACGACTTCTGCAAGCATGTCGAACGTGCGCGTAGCAATATCATCAGTATCCGCCGCAGCATTGGAGCGCGCGAGTTGAGCAAGCTGCTTGGATAGACCTGATGCACGGTTTTCCACCTAGCCAACACATACCAGAGTACCAAGAATCAATTAAGTGTAATCTGATGGTACATGATTGCATCACAAACCTCTTTCAATAGCATGGGTCGTTCTTCCGGCTCAGAGAAAAGTGGTGTTGTACTATCCCGTGTGCTCGGCGTAGTCTTGTTTGGCCTGAGTGTATCAGGAACCGCAGCTAAGTGACGCTTGTTCAGCTCAAGACGCGTCTGTATCGCACCAACACGATCAAACGAGTTCTCTTCAAGCAACACGTCCCCAGCACAACCAGTTCCACTATGAGGCACCGGAAATTGCACTTGGCTCAGCATGAAGCGTTGCATTCGTCGTCGAAAGGCAGCGTCTGCCATCATCGTGCTTCCCTGCGAGCCCTCGCTCTGCTCTTCCCCTGATGCTTGACTCAGCACAGTCCTGGCTAGAGACACACAAAATGCGTCGTTTTCCACACGACGAGACCGTGCAGCAACTCGAAGAAACGCCCGTGCTAAAACCTCGGCATCGGCCTTATCAGGAGCCGCTCCACTGGCCAATGAGCTCCAGATGTCACGCTGAGCTCGCAGTGGCAAGAGCTCCATCCGAATACCCACATCGAGAGCTTCCACTTGATCGATGTTGTGACGGTATTTGCCCATTATCGACTCGACCCGTTCGTCCAGTAGGAGAACAGACTCGCTGAGCTCCAGTAAGTCGCCACGAGCCTGTTGACGGTGCTCTGTTAGCAGCACAAAGACGAGATCAAACGCTTGTTTTACATACAGGAAGAACGAGGTACTGGTTCATCGTACCTTGCAAGTACTCGCGCACGCCAGTGGCGCCTCTGGACTGTGGGGCGAATGCCAAGAAGGGCACGCGCTCGGTCATTTCTCGTGCTTTGTTCGTGGTTGAGGACTTCGGGTTGACTCGAAATGGTGTAGAAGCGAATGATGTTGCGGAGATGGGACGTCGCGTTTGTGCCGAAGTTGATTGGTACTGGCTGGAGCTTAGAAATTAAACAGGTGAGCAATTATGTACGGCCGATATCTGCATACAGAGCTGTGGGAGACTTACAATATCTACCTCGTCCGCGGTTCCGAGTCACCGATTTGACGCGCGGGACTTACAGGAAGGTTGTTGTACGACCCAGATCGTACGTTGTCGACACAAAGGGATCGATAGCGCTTGCTGAGCGAGCGACCATGTATTTGCTGAAGATGGGTGCTAGAGGAAGTGTCATTATGAAGCGCTCAAGTGACGTGAGGGTAGTAAATGCTGTCCACTTTGCATGTAACGACAACACCAAACCTCTTCCATCATCCTGCGATATCCAGGTCCCAGTTCAGGACTTAGGTCGCACGCACATTCCACGACACCCTCATCGAAGAATGCTTAATGAATACACATTAACATATCGAGCAATCGTGACCACGTACAATTCACAGTCGTTCTTCTTCTGTCTTGTGCGGACCTGTGTTTGGTCTTTTTGTCGTTGGAATTCCTTGACTGATGCCATCCTTGCATCACCACTCCCATCTCGTCGTACCGAGGTCAGCACAATTACAATCTTTGTCTGCACCATTCGACACGTCCGAATCCTCTCCAAACATCCTGCAATGAGATTCTACAGGCTCATCAGGCTTGGCACATGTATACAGCATGGACATAGCTAGATGTGCTTGATACAGTGGCTCAAACGCCTAGCAAGTCTTGCTGTAAGACGGACTACCTGAGAAATACTGCGCTACAACTCTCTGACCCGTACCAATCCACTGCAGCAGTACATACATCTGTTGTCGTGGCAGGCTACAGAATTGCCTTGCGAGCTTTTGACACCTTTACCGTGAAGCTTTGATCTCGCTTACGTCATTACTCACTTATACGCTCTTACAGATGTTGTGACCAGCTGACTATTTTTACAGCATCAGCCGAGAACTACCTGAAGCAAGGATGCTTGAGGGAAGCACTATATTTCATCAAAATGTCCATCTAGACAGTCCTTATGCAACAACAAGTAATGAGATGCCATCACTTCACTTCCGCAGTCCACCAAAAAACAATGGGAACCCTGCACTGTGCTTGGATGCAAAGCGTATGTTTGGCCGGATCAACAGCTCGGGATCAACCTCATGAGGACTTCCTGGGCCCAACGACGCAAGCGGCTGGTCTGATACACTCATCGGTCGAGGCGACAACGTACCTGAATCGACCGGCGGGTTGCTGGATAATTTCTGCTCAAGTGCTGCAGGTCTAGGCAACTTACGCTTCAAGAGAGGAAGCTCGTGACGAAGCGAACATTCCCCTCCCTTGGGACAATATCCCTTGATAAACATTTCACAGACCTTCGCCGTTGCACTCACTTTTACGTGGCGATACTTGCAGTTCTCTCGTGTACATGCTCCGCGAAGGAACATTTTGCAGTCAGGAACCTTGTTCTACACATGAAACACGGCAGAACAAATGATGCAAGTTAACATTGCATAGCACGCAAGCCAATTATCATCAGCAAAGAGAGCGCATGGCCACATTGCAAGCAATGGCGGAGCAATCCAAGCACAACCCCGAGCGGCTACTGTACCTCGTCATGCTGATGCGCCAGCAAGCACTTGGGATTGACGCACTCATTCTTTAGAAACTTTCGGCACATCGCTACGTGCCGACTGTCATGAATAAACCTACACGCATTCTTGTTCTTACAGAAACCTGCATCACAGCACACATTTAGCATACTACTTCAGCAGGAAATCATGCATCAGTTCAGATGGCCAATGCGATGCGGTCAAATACTTGCCGAAGCGATTGTAAAATGAACAATACACCGTGCGGACAGTTGCCGGCTTTTTTGCCGCATGAAGGCGGTGGCTTCGGGCTCGTTGCATAGTAGCTTTAGCTCGGTAGAGTCTGACAAAGCAAAGTCCATTCATACCTGCAGGATCAGCATCCAGGCAAAGAAAACAGCACTGATAAGCCAGACTTACACGGCACGAGCAGCCCTGCTCTTGGTCACCAGGCTCATTGAGTCCGGTTTGTAAGTCGCAGTCATCTTGCTTTCCTCCGAAACACACCGTTTCAATACCTTGCCTCCATTCGCAACCACGTACTTCACGCCACCAATCTGCACCGAATCTGTTAGTTCACAAAAAGACGTGGTAAGACGGAGTTGTAGCAACGCAGCACTTCAACAAACAGCTCAGTTTACTGCTGTTCGAACGTGGTGTTGACGTAGGCACTGCAGTTCTATCTTGGGTGTCAGAATGTCTCGAAAGTACAGGCTTCGTCCCTGCTCGAATGAGACTAAAACCACCGCTCGCTTTCGCGTATTCCCCATCTTCTAGTCGCAGCACCTGCACCTTCGTGCTCTTGTTTGCAGCCACCTTCATCTGCACCAGCCAATCTTCAGTACACCTGAAAACCTACAAACTACCCGTCTCAGCGTCACTCACTGGTCTGTTCGAGGTCCTGGCCTTCCTCACCACCTCCACTGCTTTCGCCTTCCCACCAGCATTTACCGGCACCACAGCCCCCATCGTCGCCGCGTCTTCTCTCCTCCATACTTTATTCGCACTTCCAGTACTTGCGTGACTCCGGTGATCCACAGATACAGCTAGAGGCGAGAAGCGGTTCCACGAGCGGTTCCCTGGCGTCGGACGCGTATACTTTCGTGACTGATAGTGGCCGGATTGCGGCGCTTTGTGGGCGTCGCTGATAGCTGCCGAAGCTGGTTCTGTCGCTCCTGCGTTCACTTGCTGCCGCTTGGCCTGCAGCAGGTTTTTCATGGCCTGAATTTTAGCACGCAGCGTAGCTTCCTCCATCTTGAGATGTACCGGGGCACTCGAACTGGAACGGAGAGTCAGTCGTAGGATGCCTTTGGATTGGAATATTGGAAAATGGTTTTCTGTCAGCTTGTCTTTTTTGCGTAATTTTGTTGGCGACAGTCGGTATTTTTATTGCACGAGGTAAGACGAATATTCGCTTTTGGTACTTTGGAAAGACGTATTTTAAGCGTGTTTCATACAGTGGACAAGAGCGGACATTGTACGAGATCGGACTACCGAATGTTCACTGGAAATTAACGCACACTTTGGGGCTAACAAGGCGGTCTAAATTTGCCGGATTTGACCTAAATCAGCGAAGGTGCTCGGGTTGCTGCAACTGTGGAATTCATGTCACGCTTCTGAAAGTCATGATGTTGGCAGCCATTCTGTCCACAGCAAAGGACTTTTGGTCTTTCCAATAGCTGCGCTAGAGAATAGCAACCACTGCACATATCCAACACGATCGACGGGGATATCTTGATACTCTTAATGCACCGATATCGCAGGCGGCTTTTCAATGCGTGGCCCAATGACGACTCTAGCCTTGTATTGTTGTTTGTGCTTGCTTGTATCGCCAATACCCTTAGTCGTGTCAGAAGACGACGACAAAGAGGAATATGACGATGATCAGCACGAGAAAGAGCTTTAGAATCAGAGACCGGTTGCCCTGGACCATATTGAAGAGCTTCAGTAGCTCGTCGTGCGCCGCCTCCACGTTCGTTTGCCTAGAAAGTACATTGTTCACACAATGCGTGAGGGTGAATGAGAAACACCACAATATGCGTAGCCGCGTACGCTATGTCCATGTCGTCATCGATGCGCGAGATCATCTCTCCTTGCTCAGCGACCATGGTGGCCATTCGGGTGTACATGCCTGTAATCTACACCGTACAGAAAACACCAGTCTCGTGGCAGTTGGTTCAATGTTGCATCATAAGGTATTTGGAACTCCTTACAAGAGCAGCGCACCTCTACAATGGTGCTCTCTACTTGTGCCGCATTGTTGTATCTCGTCTGGGCGTCTTCGCGAGGACGATATTGCTGCTGCTGCATGCCACCTGCGCCTCCTGGCAGTGGTGTGCGCTGCTGCATGAACGGATTCGCACCGAGGTTCGCCCGGCGACGGAGGCCAGGTCCAGAATCAAGTGACCCCGACAACAGCATCGTACCTTCAGCGACAACCACACACACACACAAACACACCGTCGAGTAATAAGACCTGATCCAACCGCTCCATGCAGCTACCAGTCTCATACCAGGTTTCGTCGGTGTGGGTGACGAAGCAGGCAGTTTCTGCGGTCCGCTACCATCAGTAGTAGATTGACATAGCTGTTGATCTCGCAGCGGCTGCAAAGGAGCGCGGCCATCCGTGGGCACCACTTGACGTCCATTCCCTCCTGATGTAGTAGTCCGAGTAAAGAGCGGCGCGTTAATGTGCACCATGGCATTGCCTCCTCCATGCGAAAACTTGCTGCGTCTCGAGCTGCGCTCCCGAATCGATGCAGTGTGTTGCTGGAGCGCGTGCTGCAGTCAAGTCAAATCAAATCAAATCAAATCAACTACGTTCTTCAGTCTCTCTTGACTCTGCCTTCTCGCCTTTCATCCCCTTCATTAGACCACACAAACAGTACAAAAGACGCACATGAAAAGCCTTCACGCTCTTGGCACAGCGCGCCTTGAGCGACTGACACACGATCGTAAAGTGCGCCTGGTGGTGCTGCAGGTGCCGCCCTCGCTGCAAGTTGATCGTCTGCTGGAACCTCTGGATATTGCGCTCGATAGCGCCCAGTTCCTTCTTCAGAACGTCCGTCAGCGTCGCGATCTGGGCGCTCGGGTCATCGCCCAGGATGGATTTCGTGCCCACGAGCTCCTGCAGCTGGCGCAGACACAGCCCCTGCTGCCGTAACTGGTCGGCGATCTGCTGGGCGAGACGGGCGTCCCGAGACAGCGGCCGGTGCGGCTGGGAGCGCACGCGCTGCCCCGTCTCAAAGAGCACAGTGATGCCCACGAAGTCGCGCGTGACGTCCTTCGCGGTCATGTTGACAGTGTGGTGGAAAGCGTAACCTGTACGTACCCCTGTGATGAGAGGGGGTACGAGGGAGCAAAAAAACGTAAATGGCATCACGCAGGTGGAGTTGTTTTCCAAAAGTGCTTTTTAGTGAACCGTGCGGTTTGATCTGACAGACGACCGTGCTTTTTATGAGCACGAAGTGACGTACTTTGAGGTTTTAATGGAGAGCTGCAAAGTGGTGGGCGACGGCTAGGAATCGGCAGCGTTGCTGTGCTGTATCGAGGCTGGTTATTTTCGAGGGAAATCGAGGGGATGCCGATCCGGCTGGTCGCTTGGTCGTTCGCTTTCTTCTCGAAGGAGGGGCATCAAAATGATGCAGACGCATTATCACGTTGTAAACACGGTGCCCATCATAGCACGATTGTGCCAGCACGCGTCCAGCTGTTTCAGGTGCTTGGTTTCTATCTTAATGGGGAGACGTCAAGCAATAAACCATCGACCGGTGCCAGTCCTTCTGGCAGCATGTCCGTGCATCAATTGAAGATTGTCAGCATGACTGGAGCTCCCAACGTCAGACTCGTGAACCGCTCCTTTAGCCACGCAGATAAGCTCAAGGTAACGACCCTCTCGAGGACTTCCCATAACAAGGCAACTGTTGGACCGCAGAATCGAGTACAGAAGCATAGGATGCTTGATGTGAACGAGCCGATGATATTGTCAAGCTTAACATTGTAGCCACCGGACTCCTACCGCAATGTCAGCCGCTACATAGGTGGAGTGTATTCCAGCTCTCCAACGTCCGTTGTACTATTACTGCATGGATTGTGGTAGCAACTGCGGAAGGCATCCACCAGCAAAGCAGTCACATCATCTTCATTCATCGTGCTCAGCTTCTGAACAACCAAGCGCTAGCAAACGTAGCTTGCCTTGTAGAACCAACAAGTCGCGTTTCAAGTCTACCAGACTCAGAGGTGACATCACCTGGTACGCTCAGAAGCATCCGATGGGTGATGATCGAGCTCCTCAGTGTGCAGCTTACACCAACCCATCGGTGCAAAACATTGCAGGCCGCATCCGGAGCATGGTGCTTTGCTCAAACGCTACTCGTGACCCCGATACCGTCATTGTAAACGCACCGCAAGAGTGCACAACGCACATATGGCGCTCGCTGGTGTTTTGCAGTTTGCGCATGTAAATGCGAAGTACAAATTACAATTGCAGGCAGCGATTCCATCCAAGCAATCGCCTCGGACTGCAGTAGCGTTGTCCGCTTGCCAACTATACGCTTTCGTACCTGTGGCTCCAGCGTCCTCCAGTGCTCTCTGCAATAACGTCTTAGCGATCGTAGCGGAGTAATTCCTTCATGAAAAAGTTTGAGGTCACCTTTGCCGTGCCACCTGCGGCAGTCGCTGAACCTTCCAAAGCTGCCAGCACTTTTGCTGTATGTGCAAGATGCACGTCACGAGAAAGATGGTCCTGTACGAAAGACTTGGACACATTTACCCACGCCGTTTACGATCAACAACCGGCGGTAGTACCGCATTTTTTCTCGTGAAACCATGGATACGGAGGATACAGCAACTGACGGTCTTCACTTCAAGTGTCGCGTCTATTGTTCCTTAGAGGGGCTACAGACAACAACGTGTGAGATGGACGTGAAAGTGGAGTCGCTGCACTGGAAATGAAAACGACTTCGAGTAAGCGTACAACACAATGGCAAATGAACATGAGGGTTTAATGGGTTGCTACATATCAGCTAGGAGCTTACAGTCTCTGTGCCTGGTTTCTTGCTTGAGTTGGTGTGTCGTGTGCCATAAGCAGTTTTGGCTCTTGCATTCAAGTCTTGGATATGCAATCAACTGCCGTCTACGACTTGACGAATGTTGCCTTTATTCAACAATGAATCGATTGATAAAGACTGACCTATGCCAACAAGAATTCCGGAGACGATCATGACCTCGCGACTGCTTAGTCGCTGACACTCGTGTGCTTTGTTTGACATTGCTGACGCTCATCGTCTTTTGAGCAATGACCGGTCGGACAATTCATAGTATCACAGCTAAAGGTTTGACTCTCCGCTACAAGATCAAAAGCAGAAAGCATGTGCACTTGAGTTTCGTTTAATCTTAGCACAATACCGGAAGGTCCAGGGCGGCGCTCGTTCTCCAAGTTGAGTCGTTCCGTCGCCGCTTCGTTTGCACTGACGCAATCGTTGATCTCCTCGATGCTTGACATGGAAATTCAGCAGTTGCGAGCCCGAAAGGTGAAGCTAATAGTAACAGGCTCGCTTTCCTATCTCGATTTTAAAATGGACAGTGAACGTTCGGATGACATGACTCAGATCAAGTGCCCGTGATAAAAGCGGCTCTACGAACTGAGAGTCCGGTGCAGGATGATGTCGTGTACCATAGCATCAAGTTGGTGTGGTGTTCGATGATGTTTTACAGCTACTTGCGGTATTTGGTATCGAACAGATCAACGCACGTTTCACATCGATAATGATGCGGCTGTAACATCGGATAATGCTGCGAGTATTAGGAGTGTGGTTCTTGAAGTCAAAGGCACATTATGAAGTTTGATTGATCTTGCCAGTGTGGAAACAAGCTGTTTCATGAACATCTTGCCAAAGTATCCCGAACACGATTGTACGTGTAACTTGGGATCACTCTATCGTTCTAACTCCCGGCATGGAGCTTGTCGTTCATCAGCAGAACTTGATCATTAATGACCAAGTGACAGCAACAAAGATGCTGCAGCCTGAAAGCTACAGCTTGCGAACAGGCTGCGTGCGGGTCGTAGTCAGAACGTTAGCTGCAATCGGAAGAAAGTTTAGGTAGCCGACGTAGCCGTAGGAGCATGGACCAGACAATAATGTGGCAACGTCTCCCGTTGTGGCACCTCTTCTTCTCATGCGTTTGCTTTAAATCCGAGCGGACCATCAGACGAGCTTTGCACAATACGTCCGTGCAGGTTGCACCTTTTCGTGCTGCCAACCAGTCTGAGCTTCGTGCCGCACAGATCGCACACATTTCGGGGAGTACATGTTGGACAGCACCTTTTCCTGTGGGAGATCAAGTCGATGGTGTTGTGAACGGTTGGCAGATCAGTCAAGACGAGGCGAGTGTGCAGGCTAGGAGACGCAGTTGAGAAACAGCTCTGTCCATGCTAAGTTTTTCCAGCACACTCCATTCGGCTGAGGATATTGATCTCATCGAGCGCCGAACTCGCTGACTTAGTCTACGAACGACGATGCCATGCAATGCCAGAAACACGGATAGTGAAGCGTTCCGTGAATCAAGATGTTAACGCTGAAATCTAGTTTTCATTCATGCGGTTCATTCAGTCTACGTGTGATGCAGTCCAGCTCAGACCACTGGAGGCCGAAGCAGGTAGTAAGGAGGAAGTTCTCGAGCATCAACAAGTAAGAAGACACGAGCAATTGACAAATGGGACACCATGTGTATTGGAATACAAATGCTAGTGCGAAAACTACTTTGGGAGCTCAGGTGCCATTCCTTTCGCCATGTACTTCGAGTAGCTGTCCAAGATGCCCTTCAACACTGGGTTCTCTTCGAGCTGTTGAGGACTCACGTCATTGACACCAAAAACTTCCAGGGCAACACTCTCCGGACTTTTCTTCCTGACCTTCCAACACTGAAACTGGAAATCCTGCAACACTGCCGCATACATCTTGACTCGCTCATCCTTATCATGTTTTCCTGCCAGAAAGAGAAGCTCAGCCACTTCTTTCGGGTGATCGAAACCCCCCACGAAATCGAACAATGCCTTGTCCACTAGTGCCTTATTCACTAGTGTCTCGTCGTGTAGATGAAGATGTTCGTAAATTGCCTGGAACTGGTCACTCTTGACGACGAGATAGGCGCGATCGAATGGGTTCAGGTGAGTTTGATCGGCTTGTTTCAGGATGTCCTTCAGATAAGTGTCCTTGTTCCACAACAATTCCGCGAGGGTTGTTCGAGGGTCGAGTACGACGTTAAGCTCCTCCTTGAGCTTACTTGGCTCCTTGACGTCGACAGGTGTCACGCTCTTAAGCTTTGCCTCGAGAGTATTTAGCCTCTCGTCATAGATGGCTTTCGTGGCACACACCGCGTCCCTAGGCTCCACCGGATGAAACCTCAGCCTTACCCGGCTAAGGAGGTTGGGGAGCCACTTTGTTCCAGAGGACGACGAAGCGCGACTTTTCTCCATTGCTTTGATCACCAAAGCCCCCACATGCTCCTGTTCCGTTGGAACACGCAGAACGCCGGGGGCTGCGTTGAGATCTATCACGATGGACAGCGAAACGCACACGAAGAGCGTGAAGAGGTTGATCAACGTCATTGTTTTTTTTTGACGACGAACGGATGCTGCGCAGTGGACCGCAAAACGAATTGTGAGCTACAGAGAGAGAGTGCCGCGGCAGCTTCTCGCATAAAAACGTCTGCTTTGTTGGGTCAGTAGCGATTCCAGGATAGTGTAGTCCCTGGCATGGTGACCCCTGTTTCGGCAGGAAGGAGCCCTGCACTTCGAGTCAGACGGACCAGACAGACAAGTAAGAAGATCCGGCGAAACTGCTTGTGTCCATCGGGGACTGGAGGACAACCTGGCTCCAAGTGAAGATCAAAAGGATGTGCACTTGTTCGCGTCCCTACCCATTCCTATCGGTTCGGAACTGGCCGGAACTTGAGTCGAAATGCATCAACTGCAGTACGTGGAGCACGGCTCATGCACGTTTTTGGATTCCTGATTCAAGAAACTGAGGGTAAAGTCTAGTCAGGTCATGGTCGGACATGCCCATTGTTGACGTTGTATGAAAGAGCGTGTCAGTATCGACGTCACGTAAACAGATTGCTTGCTGCTTTTCACCCGCTAGAGTATTCTATTCTACGTGAATCATAGCCAGGACGATAGAGCTAGCGGATTCCTGTCAAAGGCTTGTCGATACCAACGCAATCCGTGCTCTGGGTTTTCAGCCGTCCGTCAAATGCTCATCATCATTAGAAGCCACTCTGGTTTGATGACGTGCTACTCGCAGCCGATTGTCACACTGCAAGAGCCAAAACGTGGGACTGGTCTAAACGTCCTCCTTCGATAAGCTACCCCGCCTCTCATGAACACAGCTGTTCACACTTGTACACAAAAAGCGCTTTCGAGTCGCTCTCTGTGATACCATTTATCACCCAGACACACAAAAAACACGTGAGGGTAATCGGCATGTGTCACATGATACACAATTTACGATAAAGTTTTGCGCTGCGTGGAAAGTATTTTGGCGGTGCGAGAAGCACTGATGGGGTTTGGATGTGTTGCCGTGGGTGTGATTTGCCGTCGCATGCAATACAAACGTGTTGGACAGAAGCAAGTTTTTTGCTACTTGTGGGACGTGAGTCGTGGTATGAAGCTGCGACCGACACTGTTGTCAGCTTTGGCTTCGGTAGTGGATCAGATACCTGTGGTGTTGGCAGCGGACAAGGAATGGAAAAGCTTCAACGAGTTGCGGGTATTGATACGGATAATCCAACTCTTGTCGTGTTGAGCCATTGCACATCGGAGTACTAGGTATGATGGCATGGCCGCGATGGGACATAAACTACTGCTGTGCCGAGAATGTTTTTGGTAGACCAACAGTCCGAGTGAAGGCAGTGGCGTAAACGTTGTAACGACGAAGGGGCTCGCACCCAAAGTTAACGCGATTTTCGACGGCTTGATGGCTAAAGAAAGTGAGTGCAAACTGTTTGCCTTGCTATAACGTTTACTTCATATGGTCAATGTTCTTCGCGCACCTCTGCTCATCACTTTTTCAGGATGTAATTGCTGACAGGACCCCGACAGTTGAAGTGATAAGGCCCATGCAATCGTTGATCGACCTTCTTCTGGCTCTGACAAAAAAATAGAGCATTCGCTCTTAGCTCTTGCTCCCAGCATCCTCATGTCGAAAAGAAACTGCAACGCGAAGTCGAGCGCCGTCATCGCGATTTTCAATCACAAGGTGCTTTGTGTCGAAAATGTGGGTGTCTATGTTAATATGCTAAGGATCTGCACGAGGAAAATCTGGCGGGACCGAGCGCTCGCACGACCGCAACCTTAAACTTTATCAACGGTGTATCGTGACGCCTGACGCTGACCTCACGCAGACCCAATAATTTTGTGTCTGGGGCGATAATGGGACCGTAGAGCATGACTCAAAAGCACTATTTATGTACAATTGCGTACCGGAGGATTCAAGACAGGAGTGGGAGCTTATCGAAGGAGGACGTTTAGACCTGCCCCAAAACGTACCACTCCATGTGGACACGACCGCGCAAAAAGATGATTACGGGAATGACTGCTTCGTACCAGCCGTTCCGTAGCCATGTTTTAACTTATACTTCGTCCATCTTCTCTCCTAATTTTGCAGCAAAAAAGCGAGCGATGTGGTAACTCTGAGCGGATACTGCTGAACACGGTTTCGCCAAAAGAATGCGACAAACTGTCATAAAGTGCTCGACTTCGATGTAATTCAAGCATATTTGCTGTTGTCAACACCCTTGTAGCACACCTTGCCACTGTTTTTGCACAATATTCTGTTCCAGTGCGTTGGATCTGTGCAAAAGAGTCGACGCTGAACCGAGAGATGACTGCGGATGAAAGAGAATGTGGAGCTGGAAGCTACCTGTCTGCAATCTTTAGACCATACCGTCTTGTATGTGACGATGGGGGAACATAGTTGCAATCATTTCCACGCGTCTGCACGTAGATCGTAACGGCTGGGCAAGAACTGTCTCCGAATGTCGTAATATTCAAGAACGTGGTCAACTACGCAGCGTCGTTGCTGCAGCTGTTGCCATTGTAGCCATTCTGCGTCCAATCTTCACTCTTGCAGCGCTTGCACTTTCACGATTTCGTGATAATCGTGGCGGTGCTGCTGCCGAAACAGGTCCCAGCGACATCGAGCATCATCTCGGTACCATGGAAGATCCAAACATAACCGGTGGATAAAGCTACTCGCTGCTGATCCTGCGGCACCATCAGCTGAAGACCACTGCTGGAATAATGGTAAGCCACCATATAGCCATTCCGATCACTTTTCAAAGAGAAGCTATTTGTGGTGAGCGTGTACATCTTGACGCTTTCATGCCCCACATTTGTTTATGAGTTCCACTTGAAGGCACATCGAATCGAGACTAGCGTACTCGCTCATCAAACTGACCTATGAGGAAAACACGTGTGCTTCGATACATAACGACTTAAAACGCGGTACAAGTGTGAGAAAAAACTGCTGACGAGTACCTTAGCATTGTTCCGTTCACTGGAACATTCGCAACGTCGCTCTTTTCGGTTAGGCATTGCGATCATGACTTGTGTGACAATAAACTTATAATGGCTGTTGTCAGCCTAGACATTTATAGCTGGCCACCGCAAGCACAATTCAAGTTGCAGGAGCGAACCACATTTGCGAGAGTATCCAGTGAATTCTTCCACCACGTAATCGTACGAGTGGCAAAACCAATCGGCATTGTCATTAAACTCTTCCAGAGAGTCGTTCTTCAAATCAACAGCAAGAAGTGTCTTGCACAGAGAGCGTGAACACATGCGTCCATGGCACCAAAAGTATCGCAAACCAATTTGCAAAGTTCACGCCGTAGACTAGACCCACATCAGCGATGTAGCAAATGCTGCATTTCGTGGACAGGAACGTTCGCAAAGTCGTACAACACATCCATCTAAAGCATTGGCCCTACGCATGCGCACCAAGAGCAGATGCAATGCTTCTAACAGCAGCATGAACAATCATTATCGGTCACACAAAGGTGATCCGCCATAATCTCAGCCGTAATGACATCATGGGGGCGACACCAGTATACAAAGTACCCAATCCCAGATACATCCGACATCAAAAACTCCTCCAGACGCGAAAGCGCAAGAAAGGCTGCGTAATATGTCAGATCACGTCAAACAAACAAGCCCTATGGTGGAATTCGCAAGCTATCCTACACCTTGAGCCTTCAGTAGATGGACTGCGATTGCCAAAAGGCCAAGCCAGCATCGCTGACATCGCCCAAGATGGCAACCTCACCTGGTCAGATCACCTGCTGTCGCCTTTAGCTGCAAGTGACAAGTCATCGATCGGCCACATATCCACGATCATTTCTGCTCATCATTCCAAATCCAAACGCTTTCTTGAGCTTGGGTTGCGAGCTCAGTAAAACCATTTCGTCTGGGAACGGAACCGTAGCACAACTTGCGAGTCTTGATACAGAAGTCCTGCTTGAACGTTCAAGCGCAGTAGGATCCCACACCTTCAAGAAATGCAGCAGATGCCCCAGCATTTGCGTCACTTGCAGCGAAGAGCGGGGCTGCTTGGATGAAGTGACTGCATATAAAACCGCGCTCTGTTAATCGTTTATACGTCCAGCACAAGACGGGCAGCTACTAACCTGATCTGACTAACGAGTCAAAGAAGGCAACACCTGGAAGAACCGATGGAATACACGACGTTGAGTCGATGTGTTGCCAAGCAATCTCTATTGCCTGCTCCGTCTAACCGAATCAAACGCATCAAAACAAAGTGGTCATATGAACGCCATAAATGTCATAACGTTGACATGCGTCATTACCTGGCCAAGGTCCAAGAGCGCGTGCAAGAGGGGAGGAATCGCATCCAACCGAAAATACATATCCATTCCCGCTTGAAACAGAGCTGGAAATGTTTTCCCGTTCCGAACCATCAATTCTGCAAGCTCCACGAAATCAGCTATCACGTGATGGCTCAGAAATTGGTAGAGCCTGGCCGGTTCTTCTGTAGCTATAAAACACTCTGCCAGAGCAAGATATCTGACGAAACGATCAGTACACAAAGATATGAGCAACCGATGGCAAAGTCGACAACGTACGTAATGTTCTCCACTTGTATCTCCCTCTTTCGTAAACCCTTGATATATTCGACAATGCAGATACTCAAGTTGCAGCTTGTAGCGACCTGAAGTAAGACCACGCGTGAACGTACCGCACTAATCGTATCATTCTATTGATGTATACCAAGCGTACATTTGTGTCTTCTAGTGTCCGTTTCCACACATGGTGGTACAATTCTGCCTGTTGAATGAGGATAGAGCTGCTGACATCACGAGCAGATGGTCCTTCTCCAATAACCCCTGACGAGAAGTACTCATCAACAGATGTGACCGGTTCGGCATGCTTATTCGGGTACGCGAAGTGCAAATCGTCGTAAGTATTAGTTCCTGTCTCGCTCTTCACAGATCACGGGCATGCAAGAATTCATTGAGTCAGTCATACCCATGGATTACCATACCTTAATACGTCGGTCATTTCTAGACGTCGTTTGAACAGGACTCAGCATTCGAGCGATAGAATAAAGAGATGCTTGCTGCTCCACGATGTGACGTCGTACCAACTTCAATACCAACATCTTTGCCAAATCACAGTCACTGCGACGCAATAAGAAAGGGACGATCTCCGGATGGTGCTCGCAGGTCTTGCAAATCCCGGCTAAGTTTAGCTGCAGCACCCGAATTTCCACTTGTTTGACCCCGCTACTTGAACACGATCGTTGCATAAAATTAGGGGCATGAAAGCGCCATTGAGAAAAGTGTGCAACAGCGGCTTCGTGGTGTGTGACGAGCGCCTTCTCCGCAGTTACTGCTGATATTGTACGCTGATGCTGTCTTGCTGATCCTTGCTTCGCTAGCTGAGACGCTGGAGGCAAGAGTATGGATGGGGACAGATTTAGCACATCGCCAGTGGAGCTGGGCAAATCTACGTCCATCACGCTTGGTGCGCGGCGAGTCTTGAGCTCCGATGTTAGTGAGCACGACGGCAGTTCATTTTCCTGGCCAGTCCTGGCGACGTGAAGACCAAAATCATCAAATTTGTTTAGGATGTCCACGGCCGCTGCCGTCTTGCTCTTTTTGTCCCAAGCTATACATGGCGGACTTAACGATATCGGCAGAGGTGCCGAGAATGGGTCGCTCATTGTTGTGTCACACTTTATGTCGAAGAACAAGCTGACATTGAATTCCAGGCTGTGGCAAACCAGCAGATTGTCCACTACCGAATAATCTAGCGCTGTCCCGGGCGGCAGCATGAGATTGAACGAGCGCACACATGATACATCCGTCCTTCCTACTAAGTACAAAAGTAGCTTCGTAGAGCTGGGATCATTGTACACTACGTACACACTTCCATACAAGGTAACCAAGCGCAGATCTTGCTTGTTTACCGACGTGGCGAACACCAGCTTCGGCAGTTTCTTCACATTTTCCCCGTTCACTAAGAACGGTACAATCTCATTTGCACGAGAACCTGTGCTTAACAGCAGTACTCCATGTGAAGCTGCATACCAAAAGTTGTGAGCATCGAGCCCCACAGTCTTGTGCAGGACACAGCTGTGGTGTTTCCAGCTCACATGATGGTGTTCCAGCCCAAACTTTGTGACGAGAAACAGACTCTGAAGACTTGAAGTCTTATACTGATGAGCACTCCAGATCACACCTTCGTTCATAATCCTGTTGCCCGTCCTGGAGCTGCACAGGACCCAACACGATGTCCGAGTGGCTCGATGCAGGACCTGCACTTCAATGTCGCTGTGCTGGATGGCAAGAAATTGACGGTCGACAGACAGTTGCATCAACCTAATCTTCATCAGTCTGCTTTGCTGTTGTATGGATTCCTTGTGGCCATTACTGGCTTCTGGATCGTTGAAGTTGTATAACGTCTTCAGGTTCCTTGACGCACGGGAGACGGACGTAGCGGCGGCCACGGAGTCCAGAGACGCATCTAAAGGCAGCATGTAGACACAGGAGGTAGAGAGGAGCAGAACACACTGATGCATAGCATTATACCAGGCGTGTTGACTGTCGCCACTATAGTTAAGTCCATCACCCAGAGACAAGTGCCCGTGCCTCATTTGACAACGATGTCGAACCTCAAGTGTCCGTCGAATCAGAATCTCGGTGGCTAGGATCAGATCTGACTCTGAGACTGAAGAGGTTTGACACCGTGACGCTTTTTTTCCAGCGCAAATGGCAGCAGCGGTGGAGGCGAATGCGGAGAATCCTGAGTCCTGGAGCGACCTCTTGACCGACGTAGTGACCAAATGTGGACGTGACAGCGAGCGTCGACTCTTCTGTACGTACTGACGTGATTTTCAAGCGCTTTGGCTGCAGATTGACTGGATCTCGTGTGTTTAGTGTACGGGATCAGCTCGGACCGCTGTTTCAAGTGCCAGACAAGACTCGAGAGCGGCGACGACGAGTGTCGTAGTTGCTGTTATAGGCACCAGAAGCTACGTACGTTTTTCTTTAAGCTTTCTGCTGGATGTGGTGTGTGTTGGTGGTTTAAATATCGGCACGTGAATGCTTTTGTTGCAGGTGAATGCACACGATGCAGTCAGAAGAACGACCCGGTCATGTGGTGTGTCGAGTGTGATGCCTACTTTTGTGCAACTTGCCACAAGAAGCCGCACGTGCTGATGCTAGGAAGTGCTGCACCGCATCATTGCTTTCCAATTGACGGCGCGAGTGGTAAGCATTTCGTGGAAGCGGCGTGGTCCGAGAAGTTTACGGCAGTGATGGAGGCTACGTTCCGACTGCGCTTGCACGACAAGATACAGGCAGAGGAGTTGCCTGTCACGGTGCAAACACAAGCAACTGGACAACAAGTACTGGGTGGTAGTGGAGCAGGGGATTGTGCTGGTACAACCATGAAGGTGTCGAAGCAGCTGCCGCATTCTGTGGACGCTTCATCTGTAGCTCTAGCTGCGGTAAATGGAACATCTGTAGATCCATTGCCTTCCTCGACGTCAGTACCACCAACAACTACAGATGAGCAGACGTTGTCGAGTTCGAGGTCGGATACAACACAGCAGCAGTCTCGAAAGCGCGGACTTGCAGAATCAGGCGATTTGCGTGAAAAGCTCCAAAACGTAGTTTGTGCCGACAGTTTAGGTGGGCAGGCACCACCGACACTAACTTCGATACCAGCGCCAGCACCAGCACCGAAAGGAGTTATGCTTGTGCAAGATAGCGTGAAGGAGTTGCGTGGTGAGCAAGCGGCAGCTACAAAGCATAGCGGGCAACAAGCTCTATCACCAAAGATGAGCATGGATCAGCTACTGTCCCAAAATGTATTTCAGAAACGACAGCGGCATCATCAAAAGGAACGAGAACTGCAAGAGTCTGACCGCGCACTACATCCTCAACAAGAACAGCATCGATCTCAGGAGCGGAAGCAGGTGGGAGCGTCGAAGCATGAACTACAGTGTTCGAACCTCAAGCGTTCCGGATGTTTGAAAGATCAACAGCAGCAGGTGGATCAGCGACGGCAAAAGGGTGTGCAGCAACATCTTAACGAGCAGCGTCAGCAAGGAAAGCAGACGCGTGAAGAGGAGCAAGGACGACAAGAAGAGCGAAGGCACAAGGAGGAGCAATGGCGGCAAGAACAGCTGCGATGGCAGGAATTACGCGAGCGAGACACACTGGGACAGCAAGGAGAATATGAGCGCGACACGCTGCGACATCAGGGACAATTTCGGGAACAGGGACGACAGCAGCAGCTTCTGCTGGAAGAACGGCTGCGAAATGAACAACAGAGGAGTTCTCTTCAACGGGATGAGGCTCGCTCGCCGATGTGTCAAAGCAATCAGTTCGTTAGCCAAGCTCAGCATGTGCGACTTGGTCGGCCAGAATCTGACTTCATGGCTTCGTCGAGCGTATCTGCATCGACGCCAGGTGCCTCTGTGACTCCGTCAAACGTTTCTGCACCGACACCTCCGACCACTCGACTGACGTTCGCGTCATCTCCAGCGGATGTTGCTCATGCCACCCCGCGTTTCGGACCAGCTGCTCCTTCTCCCTGTAGCTACCCGTTTCAATCGAATGCTGGTGATCCCGTAGCAAGTGCGACTCCGTGTATGGGATACGATAACGCGCATCAGGAACATGTGTCCGCGTTTGAAACAACTTCGCAGGACCATGGAGGAGATCGCCATCTCATTATCAGGGACCCTAGCGTCCAACCTCAGCAGACAGGTTATCCAGGTGCTATGGTTCCGCATCGCATTGGGGCAGGAGCAATGGGCGATTTTGGTCTTAGCAAGCTTGGTGAGGATGATGAGCTACGTGCAATCTGGGTGAGTGATTACGACAGCGTGAATGTTTTGGTCATGCAACTGGATTCGGAGATCGCGAAGCGAGCGGAAGAGGGACATGCTTTCGTGCACATGTCAAACAACATTACAGTCCCTGAGCAGCTGAAGCAAGCGATCAACAACCTCCGTGCTCAGCGAGATGCAGCAATGAAGAAGCGGTTCGAATCCGTGGTTCGTGTCTGCATCTTCTCCGACTCGGTGCGTTCCTTCGCACAGCAAAATGAGTACAGCAACATTTGGAGCGACGTTCCGGAGGTGCTCAAGGCGTCACACAACAAGTGCGCAGAGGTGTCTGCCACCATCCGCGAACTCGAACTGCAGGCTCAAGAGCTCCGTGAAGGGGTTGACGAGGCGGTGTCCAGTGGAGACCCTGTGCAGATGCAGAATGTCGCACGGTTAGGCGCCCTGCTCGCGGACTGTGAGCGGAAGATCCGCACGTCGAGCGGAGAGCGCGACAAGCAGTTCAATTTCATGTTCCAGTTCAGCAGAACTCTTCGGAACATGGTCCGCGCCGAATGGGCGACGGCAGGAGGAGGGTATCACGATACGCGCTGACTCGCATGGTATCAGGATGAGAGTAACCTCTCACATCAGTCGAGCGAGCAAGGTCTCCATAGAAGTGGTAGATGATGCTACCGAACAAGACTTACTCTGGTAGCTCTTCGATGAGTAGGTGCGTATCTAGAGGCAAAAATGGTCACTAAATTGAGCTCCTCAGGTGCTACATTGTGATTGAACGACTATTGGTTGCTGGTGTCATGAGCTCATGCACTTGGGTTATGGGTGGCGTGACTCTTTGAGGATCCAGTGACATCGGTCGTCCCGCACATAAACACGTTCACATTCCTAGGCACATGTGATCTACTGACCATGTTGTTCGTCTGATTCATGCGCTGCAACTACTTTGACTCGTAAACATTTCTCGTAAATTGGGTGATGTTGAAAAACATCAGGGAGGTGGTGAAGCAAATCAGTTCTCACCACGAAACTGCTCTGCTTTAGTGGAGGCGACCGAGATCGCTCGCACTCATTGACAGGCATCGACACTGAACACTCGGCATCGATCTTGCACCTAGTAGTCCTGCGATGCCGACGACTTGCCCTTCTTGACAGAAGATGCCGACTTCTTCGGCAGCAGCACCGAGTGGATGTTGGGCATCACACCGCCCGAGGCAATGGTCACGTCGCCCAGCAGCTTGTTCAACTCTTCGTCGTTGCGCACGGCCATCTGAATGTGACGAGGGATGATGCGCGTCTTCTTGTGGTCGCGCGCGGCGTTGCCAGCAAGCTCGAGGATCTCAGCACACAAGTACTCGAGCACAGCAGCCATGTAGACCGGAGCACCGCTGCCCGTACGCTGGGCGTAACGGCCCTTGCGAAGGTAACGAGCGACACGGCCCACTGGGAACTGCAAGCCAGCCTTGGCAGAGCGCGTGCTGCTCTTGCCCGTCTTCTTGCCACGGCCGCCGGTAGCAGCTTTTCCTTTTCCAGACATGGTGGGTGAGGTGGTGGGGGTAGTGGTGAAGGTGGTCACGTGGAGTTCGTTAGTTGACTGTGGAGCAAATTCGGAAATGATCCAGACGTCGTCACGCACTCGACGAGCTCTTGGCGCGTGGAGGCTGTGGCTGCTTCTGACTGGGTCTCTCTTCCGAGCGAGTGCCAGCGTTTTCCCTCTTCCCGGCGTTTTACAGTTCCGCCAATCAGAAAGTAGCTGGAACAGGATCCGTCAATCAAAGTAATTCAAACGTATATTAGCCAATCCTGCGATCGATCCAATCCGCCTACGACCTCGCTTGGGCTCCGAGGGTTCGGGCAAGAGGAAACGTCGCCCCGCCTGAACGAAAACGTCACTTCCAGGCTCTCGCCTCCGAAGTGATGAAAGTTACTGCTAAGCGACATGCGAAGCCACGGGTCATAGTACAATCTACTCGCACTAGCTCAAGGTCCTCACCAGCTCTAGCTACCGATTATGTCTGGCAAAGGAAAAGCTGCTACTGGCGGTCGTGGCAAGAAGGGGAAGGGAAGCACGCGCTCCTCAAAAGCCGGTCTCCAGTTTCCAGTCGGTCGCGTTGCCCGGTATTTGAAGAAAGGCCGCTACGCGCAGCGCACCGGTGGTGGCGCTCCGGTCTACATGGCTGCTGTGCTCGAGTACTTGTGTGCTGAGATCCTCGAGCTTGCTGGCAACGCCGCGCGCGACCACAAGAAGACGCGCATCATCCCTCGTCACATCCAGATGGCCGTGCGCAACGACGAAGAGTTGAACAAGCTGCTGGGCGACGTGACCATTGCCTCGGGCGGTGTGATGCCCAACATCCACTCGGTGCTGCTGCCGAAGAAGTCGGCATCTTCTGTCAAGAAGGGCAAGTCGTCGGCGTCGCAGGACTATTAGGTGCAAGATCGATGCCGAGTGTTCGGAGCTGCCCACATCTTCGCAGAGATGGTTGCTGTGCCTTTTCAAGTGATAGCAACCAGTGGTCGATGTGGTGACTCCACTGCATTTTCTAGGATAACCTTTGACACGTCCATACGTAAGGAGCTAAATCAATGTAACAAAACAGAGTGACGTCGACTTCATTATGCACAGGTCCTCGTACTCTGCAGTAATACTCCGTTGTAAATCGAGACGAGGACGCTTAGCAGCATCTAGTGTGGTATTGTCCCTGAGCTGGCCGTGGCCGGCTAAACGCGGTGCTCGTGCAACACTTTGGTCGTACCGTGTATGATAACGAGCTGACGATTACCATGCTCAAAGCAGGACACGTGCTGTCGCAAAAGGATGGACAACCAAGCGTATGTATCCGCGATCATCGTCTTGAATACCGACATCAAGACGTTCGTCACTTACGATGCCACGGTCTAAGAGGGGCTACGAAGCGGAAAGGGACTTTCCGGTCTGGAACGAAGCCATGTTCGTCCTCGTCCTCATCGAATTTGAGAACCACGTACGGTGCACCCTATGAACAACCATCACACTGTCTCGTTAGCTTCCTGCAGGTCTGCAAAACCCACTCCCCCTTTGCTCAAGAACACACTCTCTACTGACTCACCTTTGGATTCGGCACGCGGATGGTACTGCGGAAAAAGCTGGTTGTGTTGGGGTACATGGCCATGACGCGCTCATTCACCGCATACTGGATCCACGCGCCTTCAGGAAGCGAGTCACCTGGCAGCTCAACGACGTGCTGCCATGAGACAATGTATCGTCTCCTCGACGCATCATAGTCATCGTCATCGTCGCCCGAGTCCACGTCCTCCACTTCGTACGTGTTCGACTCGGCACTGAACTTCACAATACGCGCCATGATCCACAGCTCATGGCTACGCGCCACTTTAGCTGCAACGTGACAGCCTACAGCAAGAACATCTTCCTGGCGTGGCACCATGACGCCCACGTAGCCATCGCTTTCTGTCGCTGCAGCTGTCGAGGAGCTACCGGTCCCTCTCGGTCGAGCGTACGTTCGACTGTAGAGGTTACCTTCCGCCTCCTGGTCGGCCTCTTGCTGCTTGCCACTTCCGAGTCCAATCATCCCGCGGCTATAGTCCCTTTCGACACGTTCGACACAGTGATTCAGCTGCCGGCGCTGCTCAGCCAGCAATCGACAAGCTAGAGCGAGCCAATGCTGGAGCTGGCGAGCCCACTTGGTCTTGCTCTGTGCATCGCCCTCTCGGTCCTCGGCTTGCAGTAGCTTTTCACGCAGCACGTTGATCTTTCCTGCAATCCCGTCCATGTTATTGTCCAGCAGCTGCGTCGTCACGAAGCTGTTTAAGGCATCCTGCGACGCGGGCACGCGCTTAATGCGCTGTTTCGCCATCTTGACCATCTTGTAGCTTCATGTAACGGCGTTCCAGCTCCACCTTGGAAACGACCCGGGTTCAATAGAAATGGCTTCAATGCGGCCACAAAAACGCTTGGTGTAAAACGCTTCTGCCTTCTTTCTCGCTTTTTACAGAAAAAAGACGACGCCAATGTGAAATGCATTGTCATTTTCGAAAGAGCCCCACGCGAAATGGTCGTCCAGGTCGAGGACGCGATCGTTGCTGTCGCTGCGCCTTCGCCAGGACCGCGAGCGACTCGGCTCATGTGCCAGGCCGAGATCGAGTCCATCCGGTACTTGGTGTACGCTACCGCGTCTCTCCTCGTTGTTATGATGGAAACTCCTTCTGATGTAACCTCGTCAACCTCTGCAGTGGATGAACCGAAGCGACGTGCGTCCAAGTTTGAGCTGTGGCAGGTCTGGAATGCTCAAGAACCGATTCGGTGCGTGCGATTCAGCCCCAGTACAAGAACGGCGCGTGGAGCTCTCGCCCTGTGTATCGAAGGGGGCCGTGGCGTGCTGCTGGTGCCCACGAGCGCCACGTCTAGCCGGGCAGCGGCTGCAGCAGAACGCTCTGGAGCTCAATATATGAGCGAAAAAGATATGAGGTTGCCTTTGAGGGTCGGTTGCGGTGTCAAGAGACCTCGATGTGACTACGTGAGGACTCATTTGCATCTCCACTTGCCTCGATGGGTGGAATCTGTGCGTTGGGAGTGCGAAGACCAGCTGGTAAATCATTTGGAGTGGGTGGAAAACGAAGATGATCTGTTGTTGCTTGGGTATGGAGACAAGTTGTCGATATGGAAGCTGGTGGATGACTCGGTGCAAGTGCACCTGCAACGCACAGTGAAATTGTCGGGTGATGGAGAAGTGCCGGTTGTACCGGCGTGTCACTTTGATGTGGCGTCAAGTGGTCGGTATGTGGCAACGGCAGGCAAACATGATCGGATTGTCAAAGTGTGGGATGTAGAAAATTTGTCAACACATGATAGCACGCCGGTAGTGCTGTTTCTGGCACATACCCGTGCTCTGGTGTGCTTGATGTGGTCGAAGGATGTGAACGTGTATAAGAGGCGGTCAAATGTATCAACCACTCAGGGCGCTCGCGAGATGCTATTTACTCTTGATCGAGCTGGAAATGTGTCGATCTGGAGAGAGATTTTTAGTCCTCTGCGGTCGTTCGTGTTGTGGCAGCAATTTTCTGTCGCAGACTTCTGCTGCTCTTCCTTTGATGGCGATGATGCCCAACTGGATTGCCGCATCCGAGAGTTTGGTTTGGTCAATCATACTCGGGCTCAAGAAGGGTCAAAACCTGTGTCGTCGATGAAAGAAGCATTGTTGAGCGAAGGTGCCGTTATGGATGCTCTCTGTCTTTTCCATTATGGATGTGGATCGTTGAACGAAGCGCGCCAATATGAACCAGGCAGTCAGCGTAAGAGCAGCATCGATCAGATCAGTAGCAAGCTCCTTAATGATCGCAGAGGTGCCATAGCAGATACTCACGTGGGGGAAGCGTCTATCTGCGGAAACGTAGCACTTGGGCAAACTTTTTCTGTTCATTTACTCTACGCCATTCTCAGCAGTGGTGTACTTTGCATGTTTCGTGAGGTGTCAGTTCCGTTTACGGTGCGTGCAGTTCTCATCAAGCAGAAATTGGATACTGACTAGCAACGGTGTTTTGATGAGCAGAGTGTTTCACCCAAGTTGTCCCTTCTCCTGAGCTACAATGGCCTCCAGGAGCAACTCATTGATGGACACGTGTATTGTGTCAGCTCATCTGATTACCAAGGTGGACATTAGAGCCTCGTCGTACCTTTCCTTGTTCGCAGCTGATAATGTGTATGATGTGACAGAGCACGAAAGCGGTTTGACCGTATTTTTCGTCGAAGTATTGTTCCAGCGGAAAGTGGCTGACAGCCAATTGTATCGTGCGCGGTTAATGCTTCAACCCAGTAGCTTCTCTGCAGGAACATGCACGGAGTCTGCGTCCTATAACGTTCGAACCTGTGAAGTCTCAGTCATATGCAGTAGCATGATGAGTGCCACGAAGAACACAAACGGTCAGGATGCGATTCTTTCGATTGTAAATCTGACACCAAGATGTCAACCGGTTCCGGAAAATTGCTCGGGTGGACCTGATATGATTGCTATCACAAATTGTGGCAAGCGCTTACATGCTTTTCGGGCTAGCCGATCGTTGCATAAACTTGAAAGCGCCTGTCGCGCAGAAGTGGAAAATGGGACTGTTGCCCCTGTGACACACACTGCATCGTATGATAAGCAAGGAGTGCTATATTTGTTTGCAGGGGGTAGGTTGCATGTCGCAATTGTGGCACCTACCGGCGTACATTCGGTCAAAGGTGTTACAGAAGACATGTTACCGAAATCGTCTGTACTTTGCAGACAAACCATGCTTCTTGTTGCAGGGCGTGATGCACTGACAGTATGTTATGCAGATGAAAGCAACGAATTTGAGGTGCTGAATGAACTGATATCTGTAACAATTCCAGCATCTGTCAAGGCTAAGTGGTCAAGCTCTTCCATGGCATCAACGGATCCAGCAGCGATTGATACAAGTGAAATCAAAAAGGATTTCAGTATGGTGGTTGGATTGCACAAAGATGGAAGAAAGATGACTGTCTGGGTTTTTTCGTTCGAGACGACAACCACGGACTCGCTTTTTCCTTCTGTCCAGCTGCTTCGTAAATCGACGGTTGCATTTCCCGGAGCAAGGGTACTGGGTATCGCCTGTGTTCCGCTGTTGAATACATTCGAGGTTACATTTGCCTGTTTCGACACAGATGCGCAACTAACACTATGGACATTTGCGGACCTCGATAATTTGCTCGAAGTGGAGTTTGCGCATCGGGTCAACGTCGGCGACTTGATGAAAGTGTTCAGTCATGCGCAAAATTCGCACGTGCCTTTTCACTTTACTGACGAACGATCTCCGTTCAAGCACTTCAGCTTCAGCTCGTGTGGACGCGTGGCCATACTGTTTGAAGGCAGCAAAGGTGGTGGCCAAATCTGTTTTTTGTCTACGATCGACGACATATTGCAAGGAGTCGTTGAGCTTCCGTACGAAGAGTTTGGTCAGGTGCTGTCGTTGGAGTGGACTCCGCCTATAACGGCAGAGCAAGTTTGTCATCTCCTGTTCGTATCAACCACAGCTATCGGTGTGCTGAAGTTTGGATCTTCTCTGCCGACGACAATAAACAAATGGAGCGTTGCTTGGTCGTCCAGTCGATTTAGCGTGAGACCTGGGAAAGCATCTTCGCTCGCGAATTATCCCCACGCGCTGCTCCGTATAGAATCCGGTTTGGCGCGCTTGAACATTGGTCACATAAGTGGACTTGGATCATCGCCAGTCCAATCACTGTCAGACTTTCCTCGCAACCAAGCACATTATTCCCAACCGCAGACGAAGGTATTTCCCGCGCATCACCCGATAACACTGATGTACTTACTAGCTCGAGGGTCGTTCGAGACTTTAGGGAAGGTCCTTGAGCACGTAAAGATGAAAGTCCTAGAGCATGAAGAGATGTGCTATTTGCAAATGACAGACGACACGATGTTACAAAGTCTGCCTTTGTTATCATTGTGCCAGCTACTTGGAAATTCTACCAAAGACAATTGTGATGAGCGGTCAGATACTTATTTGAGAGGAAAAGGAAGTCAAGGCACGGAGAATGTCAGTCATTTCGAAGCTTCCGCTGGTCCTGCTAGGGCAAGCGATCTATTTGCTATAAGCCGTGAAGCTCGTCGCCGGTATGACGCCGGCAGAAGTGGTGCTGATTGTGCAGACAGGCTGTTTATGCCTCCGCTTTCTGCACACGACTCTATAGAAAATCCGCCGACTGCGGAAGTCAAGTCGGTACTGGATATTGACGCATTTTCTAAGTTTTTCGACAAGCATAGATGTTCATTGACATTCATGACGACCGAAGAATCGGACATTTTTCTGACGATCGTTGCTGGTGTCAAGAAAATCTTATGCTGGGAACGTGACAGTAGCCGTCAAAAAGACGAAGCTGCCCTTCGTTTTCAAGCTAGCTTGCTTTGGCAAGCACATCCACTGTCTAGCATTCAACGAGCTGCAGACGTCTCGGATGTGGCGAAGCAACAGGCAGCCAACGACAGCACAACGCCAATGTCCAGCCACCAGGAAATAGGTGGATTGTGCTCTGAGCAAATAGCTTGGGGAGCGCTTAGCGAGTTCCAGCCAGAGTTACTCCGGGAATGCTTTCCTGAGGAGACGATAAGCTGGAAAGAGATGAGACGTCTCCGGCTACCCTTTTGGTTGAAGAGTACAACAAAGCTGATCCAGCTTTTGGAGAAAGCGGCACAAGTCGAGTATGCAACAAACCGAAACCCGTTCGCAGTTGCCGTTTTTTACGTGCTTTTGGGAAAGACAAGACTTCTGGCAAGTCTGTTTAAAATGGCTAATGAGTCGCGCATTTCTGATCTTCTGGGTAACAATTTTTCCGACGTGCGGTGGAAGAACGCAGCAATAAAGAACGCTTATGTGTTGAAGGGTAAACAGCGATACGAGCTTTCTGCTGCATTTTTCCTTCTCGGTGGCAAAGTCACTGAAGCGGTATCGGTTGCTAAGAAATCAGACACGACGCTCGTATTATCGTTCCTCATTGCTCGAGTGTCCGAAAAATGGGAATTCGGTCACGACAGGTCTGGTGTCGCTGACTTATCACAGACTTCTTACACGGGCATGGTTACTGCTGGTCATGGACTTGGTGGTCCCTTCAGAACAGGCTCGGTCTTGACGACGGCTGCCGACTCGTCAGAATCGAAAAATGTCTCGGTTGGCTTTCTCCGCACCACAGTGTATGAAAGGGCACTCCAATGTGGAGACGTGTACATGTGTTTCCTCGTGAAGTACTTGCTCGGAGAAACCAGCAGTGCCATTGATGTCCTGGTTGCATCACCTGGTGTCGACATGCGCAGTATGTTTGGTGACTGTGCAAACTCGTGTATCCGGACCAGTATGTATTGGTCAGCGTTTGGGAAAAGTCTTCTTAGTGCATGTGACCTCATTCGCTTTCTTCGAAAAGCAATTGCGCCAATGACGCTGGCGTTAAAAGAACGAGTCCTAAGATTGAACGTGATAGCAATGGTTCGTTCGCAAGATGCGGGTCTTGGACTCGCTTCATTACTCCACCAGCGCGATACCGCTCCCTTCGTCCAGGAATTTTGTCGTGAGCGTGCTCCGAGCTCAGGTGTAGCAACATTTCTTGGTTACCGTGAACGCATTCTGATTGCCGCTCTCGGGGGCCAGGTCGATCATTTGTACGCCGCCTTTCTGAAGCTGATACACGAGGCGGCAACAGTGTCTGCTTCGTCAGCGTCTGGAACACCGTTTGACTTCGTGGATCGACTGAATGAAGAGATCCGATGTATTATACACCGTGCGGGTGATTACGATTTACCTGGAGTGCCGGAAACGAGCAAGAAGCATTTGCTGTACAGGGTACGAGCCGCGGTAGTAGAGATGTTGGTTCACTCCGATCGTCTTGCTGCCTTGGACTTTTTAATGTCGAGGTGGAGCCAGTCAGAAGGATCGGTGCCAGAGTTTGCAAGTACCAGACCGGTTCTGGATTTAGTCGTAGTCGTAGTGGAAGGCCTTGCAACGGTAGCGTCGGGGGACCTTTTGTCAACTAGCAGTGATTGTTCGCGCACCCGAAAAGTGGACCAAACCTGCTTCGATTTGTTAGCCGTGGCAACGCAACTCCTGCTTTGGTTACAGTACTATTTGTTGAAGCACCTGGAGCAAAGAACGCCGCAAGCGAACCGCGACTTTGTAGGCCTAGCAGTTGCAGCAGTTCACAGTGTCATTGCCGTGTGCTGTCGCTACGTGAAGAATCCCTGTTGTCTTCATCGTGCGCTCGGCCTTATCTTTTCGCACGGAGCCGGGTTGTCTCACGAGTCGAAACAAGCGCTTGATGGTATAACCGGGGGTGACGTCTGTGTAAGATGTGCCTCTATACACTGTTCGTCGACAGCTCAGGTAAAAGTGTCAGGCATGTCTTCGCTTTTCGAGCAAGACATTCCAGCGCTGTACCAGGTCGTACGTGAACTAAGTTTAGAGCTGGATGAGTTCGTGGCAGCTGTGAAGTCGCGCAGGTTGCACCACTCCATACCTTTACGTGGATTACCGGCACATTTCTCGTACTGTCCGTATTGGGAACTGGTTATGATGATGGTGGCTGGTGATATGCCCACTCACCTGTCAAAAATTACTGAAAAGGGTGTAACTCCCACCACGGAGTTGTCGAGCAAACTCGTCGAAGCTTGGGAGAGTTATAGCAACCGTCTCGCTCGTTTTGCGTTGAGGCATGTGCTGTGTGATCTGGCTAAATTGTTTTACGGCCCTTTCCCGAATTCAGACCCTGCCGCAAGTCCAAGCGCAAGTTCTAGAGAGTCACCACAGGAATCTTCTTCACCAGCGCGAAGTAGTTCCCCTGGTACTCCCCGTGCATTTTTTTCGGATGCGCCTGAATTTACTGCGTTACCACATGACTTTGGACGCCAGTTGCTTAAATGTGAATGCGAACGTTGCCCATGGCTTCTGCTCGTGGAACTGTTTACGGACAGGGATGAGTTTCTGCATCGCCTTTACGCGAGAATGGACTACTGCTGTGAGAAGATCGATGGGGAAGTTCGCTGGGGACGACTACCCGAGCCTGTTTCACAGAAATCTGCATCCATGCGCTATCAGCAGCCAGTTCCGTCAGGCGGTGAGGAAAATGCCGTACTTTTGCCGCGCGACACGAACCGAACCGAGCAAGTCAAACGGCGTACGACATCAGCATGTACAGCTACTGGTGTGCGTGTGCAATGTGTGTACCGTAGCGAGAACGCCATTAAAGCGATGTGTATCAATCGTGCCGCCAGCGACGATGCTGAAATAAGCGTATGTGGTAAGAAGGGTATTCTCCGCGCCAGTTACATGGACCATGGTGACGGCAATAGGTTCCAGTCCAAGGGGATGCACGCGTGCCCACACAACTCGTTGCGCTTCGAATCTGAATCGAACCTGGCATCGCCTCCGAAGAGCAGGCATGTTGCGGACACAATGCAGAGCAGCAACTTTGGGAGTAGTATCCGTCAAAAGCTGTCTCCATCTAGCAGCTTGACTGCTTATGGCAACAGCTCGCCCTCCTCTCTTCGGAACCCGATACCTGCATCCCCGTCCGAGCCAAAGTTGGTGAGCTTCAAGCCAACGGCCTTAGCTTCCCATCCGTTCTTGCCGCTCTTTGTATCCGGAAACCACAAAGGGCACGTGCATTTGTGGTCCTATGATCGGCTCAGTGCACTCTGCGCTTTTCAAACGAAGGACGTCGTGGCGGTAAGTAGCGCACTTGCTTGATATCGCCCATACTACGAAATGCTCTGACATGCTTACATGTAGCCATACCCAACCGGTCCGTCGATGTTGTCCAGCCGGCGAAACATCAAGGCACTCGAATTCGATGGCCTCGGTCAGCAGGTATGTTTCAGTCACTGAAGTTATGCCAAGCTCTTCGGTTGATGACGTAAGTTTGGCTGTGATTATTATGTCAAGCTCGGCGCTGTGGATGCCCCGGGGCGTCTGTTTCTATGGAAGTTTTCTGAGTGGGATCGAGTGCCGTATTACCGCGAGATTATGGTAAGTAGGTCACTGGTATTCGAGAATCGTCGTGCTTGTTGAAGCCAATGTCTCTAACACGGCCGTGCCATCGGCTGTACGTAGTGTCATGATAAGGGGGCTAAAGGGCTTGCATTCCTCAACTCGAGCAGCACCATTGCTACCGTGGGACTATCGTCAGAGTAAGCTTTGCTCGCTATGTTGTGTGTGTGCGTAACGATTTGTATCTCATGGTCGCACGCTTGTTTGCAGGAAGAGAAATTTGTGCGTGTGGGATACACTCCTGCCTGCTTCAAAAGCTGTCGTGGCAGCTCCATCGTGCCACCCAGCAGGTGCCACATCCGTCATATTTTCATCGACCCACCAGTTACTGGTTACGGGTGGCGCGGGTGGTGCACTGAGCATTTTCGACATGAGACAGCGACGCGTCTTGTACACAATCTCGAAAGCGCATGAGACTTCAATACAGACACTGGTGTTGCACCCGAGTGGCGACTGCATGCTATCTGGATCTGCTGGTGGCGACATCAAGATTTGGTCTCTGCCTCTTTTCCGACAAGTTGTTTTTTTGAGCAAAGTGCATGTCAAGCCCTCCTTTTTGGGTGACGCTGCAACAAATTTGCTGGGCGATGCCGCGTCAAACGTGGCGATTAATGTGGTACGCACGTGCTTAAATTTGCGGTTACTATCTCCCAGTGCTTAGTTGGCTAATGTTTTATGTGATTGTAATTCCAGACGAACTCCTCATGGGGGGTGACGGACTCCTTTGCCACGGAAGACGTATTCTTTACAAGCGGCACAGACGGTTCAGTCCAGCGTCTCATATTGCCGTCGCTATCACGACTTTGAACTTACACCACTCGGACGTGTATGTGCATGCACCTTTGCTTGCGAGTGCTGCTCGTTGAGACAATCGTTGGTCATAAGGTGCCCTTGCAATCATCGTAAAGCCAGCGAATCCTGTGCTTGCCATATTGCTAGCAATCTGCAAGAGACCCCAGAAACAGTAGCAGGCAGGACCGTCGGTGACGAAGAACGGTATACGATGGCATTCTTGGAGTCTTTGATATAAATGGCAGCTGGTATGACTACTATTCACGCCGGACCTACAAGTGGTGGGACTAGTGTAGCGATGGTGGCAGTGCTCATGGTCACTTGGTGGTGTGTCTTGTTTGCGGACGTATCGGACTTGGTGACCCCGACGTAAGCTTTGGGCGAAAACTTATGGTCTAATGCTTTTCGGTTGACCTTCAACCGCGAAGTTGAATGAACAAAGAACTTGCTCGCGGCCACAAATTACGGCGAAGGACTGGAGTGTACCATGACGTTCCTTACCAGATACAAGGATCAAACTGACAACGTTAACATGCAGACTCTGTTGCGACGTACAGGGGTCCACAGACACTTGCTTGGATTGAGGGGCCTCGATCCAACTTCATTTTGACAAGCGTGCAGTGTATACCTACATAGAGTCTACTATGTACGCAACAAGACGCTTTTTTCCATGGCTGTTAAAACAGTGGAAAGCACAGACCTTGTTTGGCCAGCTATTTGGCAGAAGTTGCAAAGCGGAATCAAACTCCTGGTCAATTTGACCAAGTAGACTATGAGTACGAATGAGATCGCAGTGCAGTTCAAGCTGGTGACATGGTTTGGTATGCACGTTTGTGCAAAAAGTGCAAAACTGGATCACCCAAAGTTAGCTGACCGGAATTTGAGAGACATATGGAGCCTGTGCAGGACCGAACGTACTCTTATGCACGTAGGGACGGGAATGAGAACCAACTTCAACGAGTCGAAGATAGAGCTGAATTGCGAAACGGATTACACGACTTGATATTGGCAATAGAAGAATTTGATCGTACGCCCGTTCATGCACGACTGCAAGACGTACCTAGCAAGGATGACTGTACGAGCCGACGAAAATACGTGCTACCACGGTCGGTGTTTTAATGCAGTGCAAAGAAGTTGTAGCATGCGGAATGTGGGGAGTACATGCAATTCGATTTGGACGAACGAGACCTGGATGACGACCGCCGACAAAGCAATGGCGAAGAGCTGCCTTGGGCTGATGCAGTGGTCTCGCAAGAAAACTATAGAAAAAAGCGACTCGGCCCAGGTGCGGTGTACCCGGCGCCGCGCGAAATAAAAAGTGCGCAAAGCATGCGGAGGCGCAGTCGGTCCAAGCTGGCGGCAGCGGCTAGGAGTGATCATGATGTGGCATCTTTATCACAATTGACTGCTGGGATCGCTTGTTGTTGAGCAAGCAGTTCAGCACGGAAGAAGAGAAACCGGGGATGTGTTCAGAAGCATGCTCTTTGGCAAGTTGCAAGCCAGCAGCAGATCATTGCATAACAGTGCATGTTGCGCACTGGTCTCTTCCACGAGCGGATTTTATGATCCGTGGTGACGCTGACTGGCTGTGAAGCCATGGAGTCATAATGTGCTCGATCCCTGTACAATTTTTTTTCGTCGCTGGCGATATGGATGATGCCTTGTTAACTTTCTCCAACTTTGCGCAAAAGTCCTTTGCGCCAGAAAGAGGGTGGTCCGCCACTTGCACTGAGACTTCGTGTCGGAGCTCCACTCGGTCGTTATTTCTAGCGCTGAAAGGGAGACGTGAAGACGCGGTTCGAATGACAAGTTTGAGAAGATGGACAAAAATCCGCCTTGCGACGACACCCAGATGGAGAGAAAATAGATAGCTCACCACTTGGAGTCGATGTTGGCAGGCTACCATTTTGGCGGATTGGTAGCAACTGCAAGGACACGGGGGGTTGGCGACATGTTTACAAGTGTAGCTGATCATCGCATCCATTTATTACTTACTAATCCGACGAAACCATCCCTTCACCTTCAAGTTGTTTCGTTCAGCTTCAACAATACCGAAAACAAGTTTGTGCCCTGGTCATTCCGACTAATGCTTGCTGCATTCAATCACCGTGACTACTGGCACAATCCAAGGTTTTACTCTGCAAAACATCGTGCTCTTTCGCACTGTGCTACTCGCCCATTCGTCAAGTGAGTCATGGATAACTCGCGAGATGATGCATTCACGTTAACTCCGCTGCAGATGAAGTCGGTGCTCCAGATGGGCTTGACACAAAGTTCATACGATGCTTGAAACGAAGATAAACGTGGTCATCGCCTGAGCGATCGCGCACACAACGATCGAGTCGCGGCACGTGCAAATTCAGGACATCGTCCAAAAACGTCTTGTGCATCGCCTCCATTGTGGGAAACGCCTCCAGCTCTGTCGACGATAGAGCCAGCTTAAGACCTGGCTCAACGACATCCCACTGCGTCATAATTTCAGCATGTGCACGATCAGACTTGCAGAGGAATGGACCGTACACGCGCTGGAACGTGTGGGGCAGCCACTGCAGAACGCTCTTACGCTTGAACTCCAAGTTCAGTACTGACGCTTTCCAGAGCGCTAAGTTCGATGCGCAGCATGACAGCACGATCTTGCAGAACGTGCTGAACTTGAACTGCGAGCGCGAGTGCGCCACTTGTTTTAACCAGTTCGTTTCCCATGTAGGACCAGAAGGCTTGATAGAGGTTGCGCTAGACGCTGGAGACGAAGCTGCTGGCATTTGTACGGTCTGTACCAAGTCTTCCGCAGTAAGCGCCTCCAAGGGAGTCCGTGTGCCCACCGTTCGGATCAAATAGAATGCCGTGAAACCGATTGCTGCTACGATACCAGCTGTCTGTGCACGCTTCCAGAACGCGCGCAGATCCAAGTACTCTTTCTTGCACGCTTCAACCAGCGTCAAATGCATTCTTAGTCTCAAAGCCGTCGCTTTCAGTAGATTGAGAACATTGTCTGTCGCACGGTCCGGTGCACGTTCAACTTCACGAATCACTTCACCACGCATGCCATCAAACTCATGCTCTAGCATCTTGGGCACGTCAAACATCGGCTCTTCCTTCTGCGGCGCAGCCGTCAATGACCCACCCACTGCGTCTCTTTTATCTTGCGGTACGTACATCGTATAGATGAACGGCAAGTCCTTACGCCCAATGACCTTGCTCAAGTTCCAGCACAGTGCTCCATAAGCTCTTGCAAAGTCGTGCACGGTCTGAAAATCGTCGACTTTGTTCAGAATCAGCAGCACTTTACTGCTCATTCCTTGCAAAGACTTGGTCAGCACGTCCAGCGTCTCAAATGTCGTACCCGGTTTGTCCGGGTCAAACATAACGATGACCACATCTGCTCGGTCTGCAAACCACTGCACGACCTGCTTAAAGTCATAGCCACGGTCCTTATCCGTGCGGTCCAGCGACGCCCCGGGCGGGTCGATCATCCCGGGCGAGTCCACAATCATGAGTCCCCCTTCATCCAGCAACGGGCTCCCAGCCACGACCTTGAGCTCCACTTGAGACACAAAGTCCCGACCAAACAGCCGCTCCACGTCTCCAAAGCCATACTGCGCGTGTCGCACGAGCGCTGCCCCGTCCAGTCGCTCCTCTCGATCACCACCAGCAAGTACCGTAAACGTACAGTCCGTCGGTGCCCGTCCCGTTTTTTGCACGCGTTGGCCCAGCATGTGGTTAATAAACGTGCTCTTGCCCGACGAGTGGTTGCCCAGTACTAAGACCATCGGGAGATTGACTGGCGCGAAGGAGGGAAAGCGCAATTGTGCACGCAGCAGCTCCAGACGCAGGTACAGCGCTTCCACCTCGCTCTGGATCATGCGGTTCACCTCGCCCGCCACGCGGACGTCTCGAACGTTGGCTGCCGCGGCATCATCATCCGTGGAGCTCTTGGTGATCATGATGAGGCATGGCATTCGCGTGGGGTGATTGGTCGGTAGTTGGTGTGGGACACAGCATACACATTTGATCTGCTGCGTTTTGATTCGGTGTTAATCGATCGCGTGAACCCCTCGCAAGAGTGACGGACACTCGGATTACTGCCTTGTGACCGGTTCGTTCAGTCGTTGCCAGCCAACCAATCTGTTTCTTGTGCTGGACGCTCGATAAAATGAAGCGCCGGGTTGCGATCAAGCGTGGGACCGTCGCGCAGGGGCAGCGCAAGAAGCGCGCGCTTGGCGACGACGCGTTTGATTGGTCAGGAAACAAGCAGAAAACAGGCGAGGAGAAGGACGTGATTGCGTCGGACAGCAAGGGCAGTGAGCAGAGCAAGAGTGGCGACGAGAGCGGGAAGGAAGAGGAGGAGGAAGAAAAGGATGAAGAGACCGCGCAGGAGAAGCATCTGCGGCTTGCAAAAGAGTACCTGGGCAAGATCACTGCACAAGAGACAGGCGGCGGTACGGACAATGAGGCTGGCGATGACGGCGGCGTCGAGGGGCACGTGGGTGCGAGACTGCAGCAAGACGCACTGGAAGCTATGGGCAAGTTGTTTAAGAAGGTGGCGGTGGATTATACGGCGTTCGAGTTCGACGTGGACTCGATCAAGTTTTTGAACGGCCACCGCCTGCCTGTGACTAGTCTCTGTCTGGTGGAGGATGGTAAGACGGTCTTCTCGGCGGCTAAAGATGGGTCGATGCTGCGGTGGGATTTGGCTCAGCTGACCAAGACGAAACTTGTGCTGCCGAAAGATGACGTTGCAGCTGAGAAAGCCACGACGGATACAAGTCGATGCATCTTGGCGCTGGCTGTTAGCTCGGACGGCAAGTTTCTGGCCAGCGGAGGTCGTGACAAACTTGTGCGTGTATGGGATGTGGAAAAGAGTGAGTTGCTGGAAAGTTTCTTGGGACACCGCGATGCAGTGTCGGCGCTGGCGTTCCGTTTGCGCTCGCACTCGCTGTTCTCAGGATCGTTTGACCGCTCGATTAAGCACTGGAACCTTACGGAAATGGGGTATGTCGAGACACTGTTTGGACACCAAAGTGAAGTGAACGGACTCGATAGTTTATATAAAGAGCGTGTCGTTAGTTGTGGTCGAGATCGCAGTGTGCGTGTGTGGAAGATCCCGGAAGAAACCCAACTTGTGTTTTATGGCAATTCAGGCTCCATGGACTGTGTTAGGATGATCACGGATGAGTACTACGTCACAGGTGGCGACGATGGGTCCCTGTCACTTTGGTTTAATGGACGAAAGAAACCCGTCTACGTCAAATCGAATGCTCACGGTGGTAAATGGATCAGTAGTCTAGCGGTAATGCCGCGCACGGATCTTGTTGCATCCGGATCGAGCGATGGTCAGATCCGGTTGTGGCAGGCTGACTTGCAGGGACGGGCAATAACATCTGTGGCCACGATCCCACTAGAAGGTTTTGTGAACGCTCTGTGTTTTGACCCGAAAGCTCGGTTTTTGGTAGCAGGTGTAGGCCAGGAGCACCGTCTTGGCCGATGGGAAAAGCTGAAGGTTAAGAACGGCATCGCGCTTATTGCTTTACCAACCATAAGTGGCGAGCAAACACAGGATAAACACGAAGAAGAGAGTACCGACAGCGACGACGAGTCGTAAAGTGAGCCCATTTGCACGAACCCGCCTCGTTTTTTTTTTGCAGTCTCATCTCCCTGTTTGGCTGTTCTCTGCTCTTCCGTGCTGTCCGTGACGTAATGCTGCGCAGGAATCCAAAACTTTGATTGCTTCATTGCAGGAGAGGAGAGGCTATGTCACGTGTCGAGGCGTGCAGGGACTGGTCAAGCAGTCGAGTGCGCCACTGTAGACCTTATGGCATATCTCTTGGTGCGTATCACTTCACCAACTGTGGGCGTTCGACCCTAGCGCTTCTAGCTGCGTTCATCGGTGTCATCTGATCTGGGCCCCCTTCCCCAACGACATAGTGCTCAAGACCGACTCCGATGGTATGTGCAGATAAGCGCTAGGCTTTTCGTGCTTGACGTCGTCTTTGGGCGATTTCCTGGTCAGGAACTTGCCGGATTGCTGAGATGTGACGAAGTGGATAAGCCTAGAGTGTTCGGCTTCATTGCCGTCTATCGGGATCGTCCAGCGACTTGCATGCATCAGCCTGCAAACTGGCGGCGCCCTCCTGATCCGAGTTGATCCATTTGATATAACGTATAACCGTTGCAGCTGTCACCGTAACATGAGCTCACTTTACACGATCGCAGAGTAGCCGACGTCAAGAACATGAGGGAACAGCATCTGTTGACGCCAAAATCGCATGACAGCGTGGTACGTATCGGCCGAAGTCGATGACAGAGCAATGCCCAACACATAACACAGCACTGGCTTCATTATCGTGGCCTAGCAAAAGCGGTCTGCACACAGGGCGTGGGCCCCAAGTTCATCGAACTCGCGCTTGGACACCCAAAGCTGCTGAAAGGAGCCCAATGATGCTAATATGGACCCACCGATGAAGACGCTGAATTGTCGCTCGATCTTCGACACAGTCGTGAAGCGCACTTTGAATGTGCTAGGCACCATCTGCGTGAGCTCCGCGTGCAGCCGCTCGGTGACTCCGGGAGTAAGACTTCCGCCACCACACAAGATGATGTTAGTAAGCATATCCCTCCGCAAGTCTGCGTCGCAGAGATGCACTGCATCATAGAGCATGTGATGTAGACCCTTCGCCGCGACCTTTGCCGCCGCTGCTGCGTGCTGCTCGTTCTTGACTACAGCACCTCCAAAGTTTCTTGGATGCAGCAAGTACTCAGGAACGTCATACCGCTCTTTTCCTAACACAACAATCTGTCCGTCAGGCAGCTCGTACTGCTGTTCAATTGAATTCGGCGGCGGCACCAGTGCCGGTGACGTACTTTTCTGCCCATCCAAAGCATCAACATGATCTTTTGGCGGCATTTCTGACATGACGCACGCCGCCTCACGCATATCTCGAAACAGATCTGCTCTCGCAAACTTCAGGTAACTGGCTGGCATCGCTGGTGGCGTCGTATGTTGCTGCGGCAATGGTATAGTCTCCAGTACTCCCGTCTGCCCGTTCAACTTCCGTACAAACGTCCCTCTCGGCCGCACCTTCACTGGTTGAGGCTTCTGAGTAGCCACCAATTGCTCCAAGTACTCCGACAACTCATTACATCCCACGGACGAATACTGCGCCGGCCGTTCCAGTGCATAACCATCATACACCGGCACGACACGGGAAGCACCAGCCCCAATCTCTGCTATCAATGCCAGCGAGCGTCCAAAAGCAAACGCATCGAGCACCGCATCTTTCGCCATGTAAAAAGCCGGTACTTGAAACGTCTCAAACATCATCTCCATGTACTTCTCGCTGTCCTTAGACGCCGCGTGATGCAGCGCGTCATTGGCAAAGCACGACGCCGCCGATGTGATGACCGGATGGCTCTTCGCATCCACGTGCAGCCTGTCGAACGCATAGCTCCAGACCTTCTCCAGTGCCTCCCAATTGGCTACAGCACAGGCTTCAACCGGCCTTAGAATCTCCAGATCGTGTCGATGCCACAGCTCTCCAAGCACATCCAAAGATTCGTCTGTGGCTCCTCCAGTCGTCGACGGTCGACGCCCTACGGCGCTCGGCAGCACGATCTTCGGCGTATCTTCTCCGGCGAGCCCGAACTTGCTCCGCGCCGTGCCCACGTCACCCACCACCGCCTCGACGTCGTCTCCGCAGTACATTTCCAAGTGAGCTCCCTCCCGGCTTCGTTCGTGCTGGCCGACGAAAACAATGGCAAATGTACTGAGATAAAAGACAAAGGAACGAACACATACCCACTTTACTTTGTCACCCACCCACCCACCCAGACGACGGTATTTTATTTCGAGGCGCTCTGGTAAATTACCGACACGCACCCATTTCACCCGAGGGGGCTGCATAAATTACACATCGCTTCTTCCACGCCTTGATCCGCCTCCCCCCTTCCTCCTCCTCCTCCTCCGCGAACTCCCACGTCCCTCCCTCCCACTCACGACAATGGCAGAAGAAGAGAGCAAGTCGGACCTCACGTGGATGCCGCAAGGCACCGTGGCGCTGGCAGACGGCGAGTACGACGTCATCGTGCTGGGCACAGGCCTCAAGGAGTGTATTCTAAGCGGCCTGCTGGCTGTGAACGGGAAAAAGGTGCTGGTCGTCGACCGCAACGCGTACTACGGCGGCGAGTGCGCGTCTCCGAATCTGACGAACCTGTACAAGAAGTTCAAGCCGGGGCAGGACCCGCGCAGTGACTTGGGCGCCGACCGCGACTACAATGTGGACCTGGTGCCCAAGTTCATTATGGCGTGTGGCAAGCTGGTCAAGATGTTGCTGCACACGAAAGTGACGCGGTACTTGGAGTTCAAGAACGTGGACGGCAGCTACGTGGTCAAGGGTGGGCGTACCCACAAGGTCCCTGCAACGGGGGAAGAAGCGCTACGCTCGTCGCTCATGGGGATGTTTGAGAAGCGCAAGTTCCGCAAGCTCATTATGTACATTTACAACTACGAGGAGGACGACCCGAAGACGTACGAGGGCATGGACCTGTTGACACAGCCCATGAGCGACCTCTTTGAGAAATACGGAGTCGATGCCAACACGCAGAGCTTCATGGGCCATGCGATGGCGTTGATGCGGGACGAGTCGTACCACAAGCGCCCGGCCATTGAAACGGTGCGTGCTATCAAGCTCTATGCTTACTCGCTGGAACGTTATGGCAAGTCGCCGTACATCTACCCGCTGTATGGATTGGGCGGGTTGCCCGAGAGCTTCTCGCGTCTCTGTGCGATCAATGGCGGCACGTTTATGCTGAACCGATCGGTAGACGAGATCCTCATGGACGAGCACGGCAAGGCATGGGGTATCAAGTGCGACAATGAAGTGGCTAAGGCCAAGCTCGTGATTGGCGATCCGTCCTACTTTCCTGCGGAAAAGGTGTGCAAGACTGGCGTCGCCGTCCGTTCGATCTTCATCTTGAATCATCCCGTGCCCAACTCGAACAATGCCGAGTCGCTGCAGATCATTATCCCCGCTGCTCAGGCCGACCGCAACAACGATATCTACGTCGCTGTCGTGTCGTTTGCCCACTGTGTTGCGCCACAAGGCATCTACATTGCTATTGTGAGCACGCTCGCGGAGACGTCGGTGCCACTGCAGGAGCTAGAGCCTGGCGTCAAGTTGCTGGGCCCGTACCTCGAGCGCTTTGACATTATCACGGACATGTTTGAGGCCGTGGCGGACGGCAAAGACGACAATTGCTACATCAGCGCCTCGTACGACCCGACGAGCCACTTTGAGACGACGTCGGAGGACGTGCTGGACCTGTACAAGCGCATCACGGGCGAAGATCTCGACATGAACATTAACGCCGACTCGACGGATGTGGGCGAGTAAAGGCTGACGAAAAAACAAGCTCTTTAGGCCACGCGAGCAGAGGAGAACCGAAAAGCCTCTCTTCCCATGTCTATACTTTTGCACTTGTTGTAGCCATTGTTACTGCCTAACGTCAAATTTCGGTTTGCTTCTACCGAAACATTCACGTTAATTGCTCAAAATGATTTTCCGTCCACTTTTACAACCAAGTGAAACGTAGTGTGCGCAATGGACTCGGATCGGTTCGGGACGCCCGAGCACGCGCGACGGTACGAGCCCGGCAGCGGCAATGTACTCAGCTACTTTGCGAGCATTGGAACGCCCGATGTTTCCAAGCAGAGCGACTGTGCGCGCCGCTCGGCGGGCGTGCGACGCTCTGATCTACAGCCAAAGAAACAGCAGGCACCAGTCAAAGTGTTTGACGACTTTGTGATCGAGAACCAGACCGAGAACGGCTACCGCAGTAGTGAATTGAGTGTGGACAATGCAGCAGAGCTCAAGTCGTACGCGATGAGCTTCTTGCCGCCGAGTCACAGTCTTAAGAAGTCGAGGAGGGAGGCGAACGTCGCTGCCCAGACGTCTACTGCAGGCCGCTCGACGTACAGAAGCTCAAGCTCAATGGCGATGAGTGACAGGACTGATGGTTTCATGGAAGAGGAGGAGTCGTACTCGCCCGTGACATCGTCGGTGAAGTTCCTTATGAGTCGAGACCCTGAGGAAGAGGAGCGAGTGCTGAGCTCCAAGTCGGATAAAGACAAGGTGTACTTATACAAAAAGGTTGGAAGAAGTAGTGTCTAAGTGTGGAGTGGAGTGGAACGTGTATCTGACGATTTGAGGTTGGTGTTGTTTTGTTTTGGTGCTGTGGAGTAGAGATACATTGACACGTACGAGCACGCAGTTGCATTGCTGAAACATGCAGCAGCGCTCGAGCGCGAACGAGTGGACAAGCAGTCGGATCTTGAGTACTTAAGGTCGACGATAAAAACTCAGACGCAGATCATTAATGCGCTGAGTGAAAACCAGGTGCTTAGTTTCGTTCGTTGTTTCTTGTATGCTGTTGTTGATGCGTGACTGATCGTTGTGGTTGGTAATCTATGAGTGAACAGCAATTGAGTGGACCGACCGATATCCAGCAAGAGAAGAAGATTCAGTCTTTGTGCCGTGAGGTCACAGGCCTCGTGATGCAGCTGAGTCAGCGCAACTCGCTTATCGATGACTTGCACGAAGAACGGGATCGGTCAGCGAAAACGATTGACGACCTCAGGATGTCACAGGGACTTAGCTTGAGTAGCGTGAGTACAGGAATGCAATTTTCGGATGATTTTCAAGACAAAATGGAGACCGCACTTCGTGAGAAGCAAGAGGCTCTAGAGAGCGAGGCTCATGTGTTGGCCCAGCTGGAAGATCTGAAACTACTTTACGAGAAGTGTGAAGCTGCGCGTTCAGCTCTTTCCGATGGACTCGATCGAGCTGAAAAGCAGACGACAGCGTTACACGCTCAGTGGGTTCAGGAAAAGAAAAGGATGTTGGCATCAGTACAACAAGACAATCAGAAGTTGATGAATCTTGCAGCAGAGTGTGAGCGACTGCGAAACGAGAACAGAGACGTAAAGAATTCTCTCTTTCAGTCTTTGAAGAATGAGAAAAAGTATTTGTCGACAATTGGGACCCAACGGCAAGCTATTGACAGGTCTCAATTGCACGTTTCGCAATTGCAATCTGAGCTGAGTGAGTTGCAGTCGCAATCGCGAATGTTGAGTGATAAAGAAACAAAGACAAATTTGCTCGAAAGCGATTTATCTGGGTCAAAGGAGAAGCTCCGACGCTGTTCGGCCCACGTGAGCGAGCTCAAGGAACTGCTTAAGCAAAAGGAAGAGGAGGTCCAAGCTGTCAAAGCGCAATTTCTGGAGCGTGCAGCTGTGTTGAAGCAGAGGGTATTTGATGCTGAATCAGTTCGACGAAGCCTCCATAACAAGGTACATGACGCTCGTCGTTACCTGCGAATGCAGTTACCGCTAACGGACGTTGATGTGTGCAGGTGATGGAACTGAAAGGCAATATCCGTGTATTCTGTCGCGTTCGTCCGGTTTTGCGGCACGAACTCGCACGTTCAAAGGGTGAAGAGGTACATCTGATGCTGAATGCTATCGTGGAAGACGCGTTAGTGATAACCTGTGCGATATGTTTAGATTTTTGCATTTCCCGACTACGACACGAAGCGGCGACAAATCGAACTTTGCGCAAACCCAAAATCTCATGTTGGCTATGGCCAAAATGGATCGAGGGGCGTTGTCAAAAAGTACAGCTTTGGCTTTGATCTTGTGTTTGGCAACGAGTCTTCGCAAGAAGATGTGTTCTTGGAAGTATCCGCGCTGATTCAGTCTACTTTGGACGGGTACAATGTGTGCATTTTTGCCTACGGTCAAACTGGGTAAGGTTATGCTTACGCTTGGATATCGCCACATGACGTACTGGCTGACCAAATTGTGGTTTTGTAGGTCCGGGAAAACTTATACGATGCAAGGAAAGGAGGAAGATTGTGATTCTAATATGATGGAATCATCACCAGACATGGGGATCGTTGGTCGTGCAATTTCTCACATCTTCGCCAGCATTGATGACATGAAACTAAGCGGATGGAATTTCGTTGCCAGTTTGGAATTGGTTGAGATTTACAACGAAACCCTTCGCGATCTGCTTGCCCCCACTGAAGTACGAGTTGTGTGCACGATAAAGAGCTTGCGAGTATATTGTTGACAGGCTGACTCGTTCTCTATTGGCTATGCAGTCTACGGATAAAGTAGAGCTCCGTCTTGATAGCGAGGGCAAGACTACTGTGATGAATTCGTGCGTCCACAACGTGAAGAATGAGCAAGAGGCATGGAGCCTTCTGAGAGAGACAATGTCCAAGAGATCGACGAAATTTACTAAAATGAATCATCGATCTTCACGCAGCCATTGCGTCATCACGTTCAGGTACGCGTCCCAGAAAAAGCTGACAGATGAGATGTTGGCTGAAGGGACATTTTTGGGCTACAAAAAAACTAATGCCATTGACATTTGGGTTTGCATGTTCAGGCTTAGCGGGGTTAATTCGTTGACAGGGGACCAACGGACAGGTGTTATAAATCTTGTCGACTTGGCGGTACGCTCCATGTGTTTCTGTGTTGATCTCATGTTGGTCGCATGCATATGCAGTACTGACTTGATGTCATTGTAGGGATCCGAACGTTTATCAAAATCAGGTAGCGATTGCAACAAGGAACTTTTGAAGGAGGCTACATCGATCAACAAAAGTCTTTCAGCATTAGGAAACGTCATATGCGCCCTCGCAAAAAAGGTAAAATCAATCGCTTCGTGTATGCCGGTTGGTGTGAGAAGGCTAACCATATCTACCTCTCTCACTTTGTGCAGTCGACGCACGTCCCATTCCGTGACTCAAAGTTGACGCACTTTTTGAGTTCCTCGCTTGGCGGAGACAGCAAGACGCTTATGATCTGTAACCTGTCGCCGCTAGGGGAGCACCGTGACGAGACGCTCAACTCACTTCGGTTCGCTAAAATGGTGAATTCTTGTGAGATCGCGTACCCGTCCACGGTATCCAGTCGATCGTAGCTAGCAGTGACGATGACTGAACGATGTTTATAAAAATCATGGGGCAACGTGCGGATGATCCTTTGGAAAGTTGGGTGATGTAATGTGCTCGTGATACACATCGGTCGCGGACGTTTCTCTCATGATGTTCGAACCGTTCGAAGGCGTTTTCTGGCGGTAGAAACTAGCCGGCACAAACTTCACACAACAGCTTACGCTACGCAGATATCACATGGGAGCAAATTTTGCGCCATCGACAACCGGATCACCAGCCGATCGATGCTTACCTTTTTGCCAAAAGCGTTTGTGCACACCGACGCGTGAAATGTCGATGTAAGTGACTGACGCAGTCGACAAGTTGGATTGATGAATCTCGCGGCAACAGCACCCCATCTTCTTCTCATATCAGAAGCTGCAACTTCATGTCTTGGTAAAGACCACATGGTTATAGCGCTGAGTGCCTTATCTGCAAAGAGTGGTGAAGACGCGGGCTCGCACAGCTATGCACGAAAAGATAATGAGATTCTTGGCTTTCCATCTCACTTTAATATTCCAGGACGTACGTTTGGTAGTACGACTCATGTACGCGCTTCAGGTTGCATGTGTTGGCAAGCATTGTACAATACGCGGTTTTGCCTGCAAAGTCGAGAAAATTAATGTACTCGTACGATTTGGTCGTTCGTGGGATAGGATGGAGAAGCGAACTTGAGGCCAAAAGTTTTGCGTCAAAGATCCTGTGCGACCGTGTCCAATGTAAAGCATCCTTTGTGTCCGCAAACACACTGTACAGTGCTGTCCTTATCAAAACGTACCAAATCGACGCGTGGGCAGTTCCCCTTGTCAACGACTATAATTAAAGGATGGCCCGAAATGAGCGTCGTGGAAGTCAAAGAATCCAATCACCCCGTAACTATCAGCACTGTCTTCTCCCGTATCCTGATCAAAAAGATAATCATATTTGGCCAAGCTGGTACTCGAGCCACTTTCTCCTACGCCCACCTCCATAACGGGCGCACGAACGTAAGCGAGCTTATCCACCGTCACAAAACGTCGGCCACTAAAACTCCCAGACATTTACACATACGCCGGCTGCAGCCATTCGTAATGCTCTTCTTGCTTTTGTCGACTCAACGCATGTATGTCGCTCTTCGCATTGCCTTCCTTTATGTAGTCAACGGGATCACTTCTTGCCATTGCTACTTCCAACCATTTTCATTCGCGCAATCTTCTGCAGCATGCGCAAAGTTTGGATGCCAGCACGCCTTTTGCCAGGTAATCACATACGTGTTCAACGTAGAAGTCCTTATTGTTTCAAATCACATACGTGTCAACTCAGAAAATCCTTACTGTTTCGAAAAGCGGCACAGATCAACAAAATTCCACCCACCACTAACGAAACGTTAGAAGTTGATCTCGTTAGTGGTGTGTTATAATTACGCTTAAGTTCTTGAATAGAGCAGTTGATAGCATGACCTCAGCGACCGCAAATTACGGAAAGAGGTCTCTCTCGGTTCATAGCTCTGGCTTACGTTTCCTTGCCCTTCAAAGCACCGCGTAGGGCTTCAAGGTTGGCTGGACCACCCCAGAAAGACTTGAATACGTCGTGTTCGCGCGAAAGCGCTGCATCCAAACTCACGTCGTCGACATTGTTTATGACTCGTTTCGCACCGTGTGAAACCGCTACAACAGCGAAAACCAACAATCCCTTGTCAAAGCACGACACGTCCAGCCACAACTATTCATGTAAGCTGTACCTGGTGTGAAGACGTCAAACGGCTTTACGAATGTACGTATGAATGCACCAGCTTCATCTGGAGCCGCATCGAAAACAGAGTCTACAAGCCTGAGCTCCAGCGCGCGTTGCGCCGACACCTTTTCAGCCGTACACAACAATCTCAACGTAGCTTGGCGTCCAACGAGTTTGTACAGCCACACGCCACCACCCCACGCGGGCGATACGCCAATGCGCGCCTGCACAAACTGGATCACTGCTTGTGTCTCAAGCATGCGGAAATCACACGCACACGCGAGTTCAGCGCCTCCACCGTACGCGCCACCTTCAATGCACGCAATGCTGACGAGCGGCAGCCGTCGGAACCTCATGAGCGTGTCCGTCATCAACTGACCCATTGCAGCTCCAGCTTCCGGCGACGTCAGCTCTTGCTGGGCGACTTTCAAGTCTGCTCCGGCACAGAACCAGCCGTTCGTTCCCCGGATCACCACTGTATTCAGCTTGCTTTGCACTTCAGAGCTCTCCAACATGTCCACAATGTCCGCCAGCTCTGCCATCATCTTACCACTCAGCGCATTCCGAGCTCCTGGACTGTGGATCTCGATCAATGCCGTCTTCTGTAATGCCAGGAGCTCTACTGGGAGAGTGGCGCATACGTTCTCTGCACTGCTACTGCTGCATAGAAAAGGCAAGTGTAGAATCACAGAATCGTCGCTCAAATGGAAGCGACGGAGTACCTTGCGACATGTGGCGACGAGGGCGTCAGGGTTGGGGGCCAGTTCAGTCACGAACGTAAACAGCTGCGGGTTCGTCATGGCGGACGCGTCGAAAATGCGAATGTCGAAGACGAGGCAGTTAAAAAGCGATATGATGGAGAGCACGTGTCGGATTGGTGGAAAAGCATGGAGCGAGGCAGCTTCGCTGTGGCGTTATTTACCAATCCGATACATCGATTGAGAGCGACGTCGCGGTCCTGCTTTGACCGCTATTTATCCGAAACATGTGACGTGTGGGTCTGTGTGCTGCATCGATTATGTTTGTTTATGATTTGTCATTGTCGATATGATGTACAATGTGCGCTTTTTTTCGATTGAGTGCGAAAAGATGCAACGGTTCAATTGGGGAAAGCGGATGGGAATAGGATGGGTCGAATTCGAGAGAGGTCCTTGGGGCCTAATGAAAGGTTTGTGCAACACAAGACAGTCATCTACAGACACCGATACTTCTGTCCGTATGAAAACAAGTGCTTCTCTCAAGGAAACGGGAGCTATTACAGCGTTATGGATCTGTGAGGGTGAGAGTCTGAAATGACGTCCACGAGGATCATGCGGTGGTTGGAGGCGCTACATTCCTTGTATCGGACACAGAAGTTGGAAGATTGTGTTGGTCCAGAGAGGGGTCAGTGCAATTAGTTGATTTTGCTTGGTGCGAGTGATGCATCAGAATGTGACAGCTACGACACGAAGCGGGTGGTGTTTGGAATCTGAAAACCTCGTGGTTTGATGGAACACAAACTTTTATCCACGAGCTGCTCGTGGAGTAATCGAGATTAATGTATTTGTACGACTGCGCATGCGTACAAGTGATTGACAATCCGTTCATATCGAGGACAAAGCATCTTGCTTGACCGGACACTTGTTTGAAATCGTGTCACCGCCATGGTCCAATACTGTGAGGACAAATGACGCCAGCAACACAGCGTGAAAAGGGGGTGACATCCTCGATGCACTGCTAAAACAGCGACAGTGGTACTAGGATCAAGTGTCTTGAAAAAGGGTCATTTCTACCTGTGTTCTTTTCTTACCAATGCTACCTGGTAGTCCAACGTCGCAAAAAAAGGATCCTTGTGATCCGTGAAAAGCACTTTTTAGTAACTTGTTTTTTCCCACATCTACGACCCTCCTACCTTCTCGCACGCCGTTTGGGGAAAATGGCAGAGGAGGAAGACGTTAGCGTCCACAGCCGCCTCATCGGCGAGTCAGACGTGCTAGCATCCGTGACGAGTGAGTACCTGGACGAGCATGCGAACAAGAAGGAAGCACCAGGAGCTACAGTTTGTCAGGGACGCGTGTTCATGACCACGTTCCGCTTCCAGTTCGTGCCGGACGAGCGCGACTTGGACTGCGTGCGACGTCATCTGCTGGACAGGACGGACGACGAGATTGAGAGTTTCTTTCTTATACCTTTGGGTTGCATCGCTTCGATCAAGAAGAAGAACCTGATTGTGGAGATTCTCACGAAAGACATGCGGCAATTGTTGTTCCGGTTCGATGCTGTGGAAGTCACCAAGGTGGGATGGAAGTCAGACAGTGGGGTGCGGTCATGGATACTTTCTGACTGTTGGTTTGGATTTGATTTTCGCGGGAAATGTCGACAGATTTTCTCCGTATTGACGACGTACGTGTTTCCAGATAAAATCGAGTTTTTATTCGCTTTTTATCACAGGTACGATATCCTGTTGTTTTTGAGCACATTGTGTGTTTTGGGGTTGTACCATACAAGTGGGTTCTAAGTGCAGTAATGTGGGCAACAGATTGTCCGATAATATGCTGGAGGAAGAACCGCTGCTGCCTTGTGCCCTGGATTGGGACGTCTATAACGATCAGACTGAGTGGAAGAGGCAGGGTGTGCTTGAAAGTGAAAAGTGGAGAGTCTCGCACTGCAATGACGGCTTTGCTGCAATTGAAACGTACCCGGAACGTCTCGTTGTTCCAGCTGACGTGACAGATGAGGTATGACACATTGCATGTTTTCAATTTGCAGTTCTGTTTTGAGTTTCAATGTTTTGGTTCAACAGGTGCTTCTAGACGCGATGAACTTTCGCTCTCTCGGTCGTATCCCTTGCCTGACATGGCTAAATGGGGTCAATGGGGCGTCTTTGTGTCGATCAAGCCAACCGAAGGTTGGAATGTCAAAGGCGACGTCGCCCGCTGATGAAAGCTTGGTTGCTGCAATCGCCTCATCAAGTTTTCTGCAGAACCAAGTACAAATCATTGATTGCAGGCCGATGTCAAGCGCACTGGTAATGTTTCTGAGTAAGCACTGCGTAGGCGAGATACTCGTTGCTGATTACGTCTATGAATTCGCAGGCCAATCGTGCAAAAGGATATGGCGTCGAGAGCACTGTCAATTATAAGAGTAGCTCTGTGAGCTTTATGGAGATCCCCAACATTCATTCTATGAGAGAAAGGTAAGCATTTATGGAATTGACTCTATGTGGTAGTGAAAGCTCGCTGATGCGGTTTGGTTGCTTATCGTTTCGATGATTGAACGCGCCTAGCATGAAAAAATTGCGGGCGCTCTGTTCGTCGCCTTCGTGTGACAATATGCGGTGGCTCGGCAGTATCGAAGACACCAAGTGGCTGGTTTACATCCGCCAACTACTAAAAACAGGTCTCCATGTGGCATCATTGCTTCGAGCGGGAGAATCGGTATTACTGCATTGTAGCCATGGCTGGGATCGAACGAGTCAGGTTGCGTCGCTCGCTCAAATTTTCGTGGACCCGTACTTTCGAACCTGGAAAGGGTTTCAGGTACTGATTGAGAAGGAATGGCTTTCGTTCGGGCATCCTTTTCAGCTTCGGCATTCACACGGTGAGAAAGCCGATACGCAGGAGTCGCCGATCTTTGTCCAATTTCTGGATTGCATATCGCAGCTTGTTCGAATCTATCCTAGTTATTTTGAGTAAGTGGTTCGACTGTCTGGTGCACGAAGTTAAATGCCTAACGTTTTGCTGTGTCCGGACATTGCTTACAACACAGATTCAATGAAGGGCTGCTGCTCCTGCTAGCTGATGCTTTGCATTCGTGTCGATTTGGGACGTTCTTGTTTGATTGCAAGAAACATCGTCATGAAGTTGATTTGGAAAACAGGACCGCATCTGTGTGGACCTGGGTGAATGGTTTCCGGTCACAGCTCACAGAGCAGACATACGTTCCGAAAAAGGTTTTGAGTCCGCCGTTGGCAGGCTTGTTAAAACGGGTCGCACTATGGGATGCCATGTTCATGCACTGGTCAGGCCAGCCGTTGCTACAAGAGCCCCCGATCTCTACAAATTTCTTTGCTGACAATGCGCAACGCACACCAACTTGGCAGCTGCCGCAGCGCGTAGTCAATGCCTTAAATGTCGCGCTTACTCTCAAGTATCGGGAAGCCCAGTTGATCCAGGAACTCGAAGAGCGCATTGTTACTTTAGAGGAGAAAATACATGGCCACAGGGGCTCAAGACATTAGATGGTACACCACCGTTAGCCTAGTGTGAGTATAAGATTGTCCCGTGTTGATGCATCACCGAGTAATCCCTCGTCGAAACGATTGAAATGCTCCAAGCATATTGCATGCATTTCAATCAGCGTTATGAACGTCTCTTTTGTGTATTCTATTTAGATGAATTGGTCGCTCGCAGATGTCGGAAGTACGTATTATCAAAATCTGAGTAGTCACACCCATGCGGTACTACTACATAGGAGGCAATGTGAGCTGATCAGGTGTCGAAAAAGCCGGCAATGTGAGCTGATCAGGTGTCGAAAAAGCCGGCCATGTTTTCGTGTATTCACTCTCGCGACTATTTTGGCGATCGGATTCTAGTGTAATCCTATGTGACAAGAGCATATTGGCGCATTTGCACCAGGTAAGGCTACGGGACTCGCACTCAGTCTGTAGACATTTACAATCACGAGACATCGTATCGAGTGCGTGCTGGCAGGCAGGATGTAAATTTAGACCAACCAGATCAGGTCTACATCACGACAGTTCATTCCAGAAGTTCTACAGCCCGACTATAGAACCCCCTTGAAAGCTCAGCATCGAATTATGACGAAACATATCACCGCAACGGATTCTCGATGTGGTTTTTATGCGACTTGAACTGCCATTTGCTGTCAACTTGATGTCGAGTCGCACTTTGTAGTAGTAGTGCGCGTACAAAAGCCCAAGCAGGCGTGTAGATTTCCAGAACATTCGATCCGACTATGGTCGGCTAATCAACAACCACAACAACCACAAACCCTGTACAACTCGATCGTCACCTTGGATCGCAGCGTATCTTCAGACCCGCCAGTCAGTCAGCAATTTGACAACCGACCAACTGATCGACCGATTGATACAAAGAGAGAGTGAGAGACAGAGAGCGAGATGACTGACGTGGCGATGAACGAGTGCGTGGACCTGTCGGGAGACGGCGGCGTCCTCAAAGAGATCTACCAAGAGGGTTTAGGCGAGTGTCCACCCGCCGGCGACGAGATCCGCGGTACGTTTCTCTCTCTCCCTCTCTCGACTTTAACAGTGACGTAAGACGAGTGTTCCTAACTCGCTCTCGAACGTCTTTTAGCTCATTACACGGGCACGTTGCTGGACGGCACCAAGTTCGACAGCTCACGAGACCGCGACGCCGAGTTCAAGTTCGTGCTGGGCAAGGGCAACGTGATCAAGGCGTGGGACTTGGCCTTTGCGTCGATGAAAGTTGGCGAGGTACGACTGGAGAGAGAGAGAGAGGCAGGGACTGGCTGGAACGGGAGGTACTGACGTCATAACGACCTCTGTGCGTGTAGAAAGCCGTGCTGACGTGCAAGCCCGAGTACGCGTACGGAGAGAGCGGGAGTCCGCCCAAGATCCCGGCGAACGCGACGCTCAAGTTTGACGTGGAGCTGCTGGGCTTTAGCCCCAAAGCTAAAGAGATGTGGGAGATGGACGCGGCCGAAAAGATTGCCGAAGCCACTAAGCGCAAGGCCGAGGGCACAGACCAGTTCAAGGCCAAAGAGTTTGATGCAGCAGCAGCCACGTACGCTGAAGCGGCCTCGTATATGGAGGACATGTACGACGTGGCCGACGAGGACAAGGAGGCCATGAAGCAGCTGCAGACGACGTGCTTTTTGAACGCTGCTATGGCGTATCTTAAGGTAGAGAACAACGCGGAGGCCGTGTCGGTGGCCACGAAGGCGCTGAACAATGAGCCGGCTAACGTCAAAGCGCTGTACAGACGTGGCGTGGGCCGCATGCACCTGAATGACCTGGATCGTGCAAAAGAAGATCTGCTCGCTGCTGGCAAGCTGGACCCAGCTAGTCGCGATGTGCGTCGTGCGTTGGAGATGCTGAAAGAGAAGATGAAGGAGGCACGTCAGAAGGAGAAGAACGTGTTTGGTGGTCTGTTTGGCAAGGTGTCAATGTACGACGACAAGTCGTCTCCGGAAGGTGAGATCGAGCTGGACCCGAACAACCCCAAAGTGTTCTTCGATATCAAGATTGGTGATGAGGATGCTGGCAAGATCGTCATGCAGTTGTACCAGGATGTGTGCCCCAAGACGGCGGAGAACTTCCGTGCATTGTGTACGGGCGAGAAGGGCAACTGCTCAACGGGTGAGCCGCTGCACTACAAGGGCAGCTCATTCCACCGCGTGATCAAGGACTTTATGATCCAAGGCGGCGACTTTACGCGCGGCGACGGCACGGGCGGCGAGAGCATTTACGGCGAGAAGTTCCCGGACGAGAACTTTCGGCTCAAGCACACGGAAGCAGGTCTGCTGTCCATGGCAAATGCCGGTCCAGGCACGAACGGGTCGCAGTTCTTCATCACGACGGTGCCCACGCCGCACTTGGACGACAAGCACGTGGTATTTGGCAAGGTCGTGGACGGCTTTGACCTCGTGCAGCGCATAGAGAATCTGGAGAAGGACTCGGGCGACAAACCCACGTTGCCGGTCGTCATTGCCGACTGCGGGGCGTACGACGAAGTCGAAGAATAGGTTTGCACTACTGCTACTCTGTGCCTGTCAGCGCAGTCAGGAGCTCCAATACATCCATCCCCACCAACTCTCTAGTAGTTTTGACAAGACCTAACCGTGTCTCTCCGTTCATTGGTCAAAACGCACTCGTCACCCTTGACTGGTCACAATTCAGCATTGCAATGCCCACCAGTGAATTCCACTCGGCAGTGCACATTCGGGACCCGCGATGGACTCGGCCACGGACCAGACGATCCTCCGTCATGAGGTCGCCGAAGTGGCTTTCGGCTTCTACAGCGACGCAGAGATCCGGAACCTCAGCGTGAAGCAGCTCACGAGTCATCTGAGCTTCGACGCGCTCAATAACCCCGTCATAGGCGGGCTGTATGACCCGGCACTCGGACCCGTGGACTTCAACATGATTTGTCCCACGTGCCACCAGACGCAGAAAGAGTGTCCAGGCCATCTTGGCCACCTTGAGCTGCCTGTACCGGTGTACAACCCGGTGCTCTTCACCCAGATGCTGAACTTGCTCAAGCGCAAGTGCTTCGCGTGCCACAAGTTCCGCGTCGCCAGTTCGCGCTCCCGCGAAGTGCGTGTGAAGATCCTTCTACTGGACAATGGCTATGAGAACGAGGCCATTCAGCTTGGAGAGCTGCTCGAGCAGCGCAATGGTGTGGAAGACGAGCCGCCGCAACGCACGATCCAGCGCCAACAGGCGATTCTTGACGAATACGAACGCCTCGCGCTTTCTAAAAGTAGCAGCAGGAGCAATGGTACAAAGGTGGAGTTGTTGCGACCGCTGCCTCGTCTTGCGGAAGTCGAGCGCGAGAAACTTGCAACTGAGTTTTTGAAAGGCATGAAGAACAGGTGTGAAAACTGTGGCGCCATTTCATCGGCCATTCGACAGGATGCCAACGCCAAGATCTTCCTCAAGGGACTTAGTGCACGCTCGCGCAAGCTGAACCAATCGAAGAACTTGACAGTGACCTCAGCTTTGGATACAATTCGTGGCAATGTGTCCGACAAGGACGACGACGTGATGCATGGCGATGACTCTGAGTCGGAACTAGACGAAGTTGACAACGCGCACGCTTCCATGGAGGAATCTTCGTTGCGCAGCAAGTATCTGCCCCCTTTGGAAGTGCAGTCGCAACTGCAGTTGATGTGGCAGAACGAAGACGGTCTGATGGAGTTGCTCTATGGCGATCGCAACATTGCCAGCGGCCGAACGCCTGCACGAAAGTCTTGTGGTTGGCGAAAGTTCTTCCTAAACATGGTTCCTGTTGCACCTTCGCGTTTTCGTCCACCTGTGTTTATGGGTGACAAGCAGTTTGAGCACTCTCAGAATGCTCATCTGTCTAAGATTATGACGCTTAGTGACAGCATTGTACAAAGCGATAGCTACAAACGTCAGGGTGCGGCTACATCGGATGAGGAGGATGCTGAAAAAGAAGAGCAAATAAACCTTTCTCGCAAGCTTGCTCTATGGACCGAACTTCAAACTGCTGTGAATCTGCTCGTGGATAGCAGCAAAGCCAAGCCGGGCGCTGATGTTGCTCAGGGTATCAAACAGGTGATTGAGAAGAAAGAAGGCCTGTTTCGCAAACACATGATGGGCAAGCGTGTAAACTATGCCGCTCGGTCGGTTATTTCCCCTGACCCGTACATTAGTACGAGTCAGATTGGTGTGCCACTTCGTTTCGCCAAGACGCTCACGTACCCTCAGCCGGTGACGCCATGGAACGTGGAGGAAATGCGCCAGCTCGTTATCAACGGGCCGGATGTACATCCTGGTGCGAACTTTGTGGAGAGCGAGAACGGCCGCCTGATCGATCTAAGCAAGCGTTCTCTGCATCAGCGTGGAGCTATCAGTAAGACGCTGCTTACGCGCTCAGCTAGTGCCCGAGGTACAAGCAAGAACCGTGTGAAGCGCGTTTGGCGTCATATGAAGACTGGTGATGTTGTGCTGATGAACCGTCAGCCGACTCTACATAAGCCGAGTATAATGGCCCACACCACGCGTGTTCTTACGAACCCCAAGATGCAGACAATTCGCATGCACTACGCGAATTGTAACACGTTCAACGCCGATTTCGATGGTGATGAGATGAACATGCACTTTCCCCAGAATGAGTTGGCGCGCTCGGAAGCATATAACATTGCGTGTAACGACAATCAGTACATTGTGCCGACGGATGGTTCGCCGCTGCGTGGTCTTATCCAGGACCATGTCGACTCCGGTGTGAAGCTATCCCAACGTGACACCTTTTTGACGAAGGAAATGTATATGCAGCTTTTGTACAATGCTTGGGCAAGCTTGGAAGATGCTGGGGTGGAGAAGGCACACATAGAAATCGTGCCGCCTGCTATTCTTAAGCCGGATCTGCTCTGGACGGGTAAGCAGTTGATTACTTCAGTTCTCAAGCTGCTGACGAAAGGTCTGCCGCCTCTGAACATGAACAGTAAGGCTAAGATTAAAGGTGATTTGTACGGCACGACAAACAACGAGCACATTGTGATCTTTCGCGACGGAGAGCTGCTTCAGGGCGTTCTTGACAAGAGTCAATTTGGTGCAAGCATGTACGGTATGGTCCACGCATGTTACGAAGTGTACGGCGCACGCATTGCAGCCGATCTTCTATCTGCGCTGGGTCGCTTGTTTACATGCTATTTACAGTTCGCCGGTCACACGTGCGCACTGGAGGATTTGACGCTGAACCATGCGGCCGAAAAACGTCGTAACAAGCTGGTTAGAGAGTCGGAGGTGATGGGTGAAGAGGCGTATGCCGAATATGCTGGTCTCACTGACATGCTCGAGAAAAAACGCGCATCTGAGAGAGACGGTAAGAAGCGCCGCATGAACGAGGAGGAGCGCGTGCAGATACGCGACCGCATGCGTACTTTGCTCTCTGGACCTGAAGCTAGTAACAACGCTGAGGCTCTAGATGCTCACATGATGGGCTGCGTGCACGGATCGAACAGTGACATTATCAAGACATGTCTGCCATCGGGTCAGTCAAAAGCGTTTCCGAAGAATAACTTCTCGCTAATGGTGCTCACAGGTGCTAAGGGCTCGATGGTAAACCACTCGCAGATTTCGTGTGGTCTTGGTCAACAGGCTCTTGAGGGCCGTCGTGTCCCCATCCTCTGCAGTGGTCGCTCGCTGCCTTCGTTTGAGCCATTTGACCCTGCCCCGCGTGCTGGAGGTTATGTGACGGACCGCTTTCTCACGGGCCTGCGTCCTCAGGAGTACTATCATCACTGTATGGCTGGCCGTGAAGGTCTTGTTGATACGGCAGTGAAGACTAGTCGAAGTGGTTACCTTCAGCGTTGCCTGATCAAGCATCTTGAAGACCTACAGGTTGGCTACGACCATACTGTGCGTAACAGTGACGGTAATGTGGTTCAGTTCCTGTACGGCGAAGATGGGATCGATCCGGTGCAAAGTGCTATGTTGTCCGGTAAGGATGCGCAGTTTGATTTTCAGGCGATGAACCATCGCAGTATTTCGCACAAGTATGGCATCAATGCCAAGTTCTTTGAGAAGACAAAGCTGGACATCATGAAGCCAATCAAGCTTCATCAGGAGGTTCGTGAAGCCAAGGAGAATGACTACACCAGCACGTCATCTCTTCTGAAACCTGGTGTGAAGGTTGTGGCTCGCCGATTGAAGCAAGGAGAGACGAAGTGGAAACGTGGCCACATTGAAACCGGCTTCCATGCTGCCGAAATCGTGGCGGTGGATCATGATACTGAGGATCCTCAGCAGTGCAAGTATACTATCAGATACCTGGATACTGGTATGAAGGCGTTTGGTGTGCCTCGAACTACCAAGTTCAAGACGAGCAAGTCGACGAACTCCATTCGTGCCATGTCTGGTCGCGTCGATATCATCAGAGTGTCGTTTGAGGATCCGGTGCTGCAGAGTCTGCCGTTGAACGAGCACGTCGGTTTGATTTCGGAGCGCATTCAGGACAAGTTGCGCCAGTATAACAAGCGGAATCCTTCCAACTGGTTGGACGTGATGAAGAAGAAAGACAAGAAGTCGAAAAAGAAAAGTAAGCGTGTGGCAGAGTGCGAGATTGACCGCGATGTCATGAAGTCGAAGCACGCCGTAAGTCCCGACGCTTTCCAATTTCTTGTATGGGTAAACTACTTGCGTAGTATGTGCGCTCCTGGTGAGAACGTCGGTATCTTGGCTGCCCAGGGCATTGGCGAGCCGTCTACACAGATGACGCTCAACACCTTTCATCTGGCTGGACATGGCGCTGCTAATGTGACGCTGGGTATTCCACGTTTGCGAGAAATCATCATGACAGCAAGTCAGCACATGTCGACACCTATGATGACCATCCCGCTTCGCGACGACGTGGAGTCTTCACGTGCACAGGAAGTGGAGCAGCGTCTGAACCAGGTTTCTCTTTCGGAGCTGATCAACAGCACCAACGGCGTTCGTGTCAAGGATCAGTTTCGTAAGAGCGAAAACGGCATACTCTGGGTGCGCGATTACCACATTCGTCTGACCTTTTTCAAGCTCAAGGAAATCAAACGCGTGTTTGGATTGAATAGCGATCAGATATTCAACTCGGTCGGACGAGGTTTTGTAGGCAAGCTGCTCACGCTTATTTGCCGTGAGATGAAGAAGAGCGGTGTGGCCGTATCTGCTGCGGCGGAGAAGGACAACTTCAGCGCGCTTTCGGCATCTAAGGTGAACAGGAGGAAGAAGATTGTCGATGATGATGATGATGACGATGAGCAGGGCACTCTCCGGTTTGGTAGCCGTGGCGAAGTTCAGGGCTACGGCGAGATGGATGAAGAGGATGAGAAGATTCGAAAGTCGCAGATGACCAACGACGACTCGGATATCGATGATGATACTTCGGGCAACAGAAAAAGTAGCGACTCGGGTGCTTCGGATGATGATGAGCTGATGGAGGACGGTTTTGGAAATGGCTTTGATAAGCACAAGGCAAAGACTTTTACCGCTAATGGTATGGAAGCCCTCGACGTATCTAACAGTGTGCGCAAGAACCCCTACTTTGTGTTCTGTGGACGAAACGAGAAGGAGAACTTTGTGGAACTGCATTTGCGTTTCCCGACGCACTTGAAAACGCTACTGATGGTACCGCTAGTTGAGAGGGTCGCCAAGCAGGTGCTGGTGCAGTGCTGTCCGGGTATTTCGCGATGCTACCTGATTAACCAGCGCATTGGCGAGTTGCAGGAGGAGAAACCATGTGTGCAGACGGAGGGTCTTAACTTCCAGGAGATTTGGAGTTTCGACGACATCCTGGATGTTAACAATCTTGCCACCAACGACATCTACCAGGTGCTTCAGACGTATGGCGTTGAGGCTGCACGGGCTAGTATTTCCAAGCAGATCACGGACGTGTTTGGCGTTTACGGTATCAGCGTCGACCCTCGTCACTTGAGCTTGTTGGCCGACTACATGACGACGCAGGGAGGATACATGCCGTTGAACCGTATGGGTATGAACTACAAGGGTTCGTCTCTGCAGCAGATTACTTTCGAAACGTCGATGAAGTTCCTGTCACAGGCCGCTTTGGGTGGTCTAGTGGACAAGCTAGAGAGTCCATCTGCTCGCCTCGTGCTCGGCCAGCCACCGCGCGTGGGTACAGGCAGCTTTTCGCTTTTGCAGCCGGTTGCAATATAAGTATACGATGTCGTCTACCACTGCAAAAGTGCAGTGGACGTATCGTCAAATAGAAGTCCCGCGGTTCAACGTCTGCCTGCATATCCACACAAATATACTTGTCCGAGTCTTCTGGTGGAGCACACAGGAAGCCATGTTGTAACAATCTTTTCAATTTTACAGACCACATCTGCCACAACGCACTCGTGAAATGCACTGACGTCAACGGTGCAGCAGTAGCCGTTTTACGGCTATGATGATCTTCTCGGTTCTTGTAGCTCTACAACGATTACCGTCCGGACACCGCACAATATCAAAAGGTACCAAGAGGGCTGTGTACATTCCTCAAAAGCAGAGTTGAAAAAACTCGTCAACACTGCGATCGCATTCCGGCATCTCTACAGTGTATGTGCCAAAACGAAAGTTGACATCAGTAGACAATGCTTCAGACCGAGCACGTTTTCGCATATGCGTAAAAGTTTCGGACATGTTCAGCTCGGCCAAGAACTAAGGCGGCGCATTTTGAATTCATCGCAAGGATGACGTAAAAGAGCTTTTGTATACTGTCGACGATGCCACAGTTTGTATTAGTGATGTTGTTAGTTAGTGATACTAATGACTGCATGGCATGGACGACGGGCGAGGCTGTTCCGTTTGCTATTCCGTGCTGCAAACACCGTCAAACGTTTTTACGAACAGCTAATTAGCTTAATCGTTAAATTTTATCTTATTCCTGCTATAAATAGAAGGTCAGGGGTGCGGAGATTAAAGAGCTTCCATTGATTAAATTTAGTGCTGAGCCTTACGGACGGGTCGGACATCTCCAACTGGAAGATTACCAATGTCCAAATCTATCTCTATAGCACCAAGTGTTGCTGACTCGTCTAGCTGAACCTGGCGTAACGACACCTGCACCCGAAAGTCTACCGAAGCTAGTGTGCCTGCACAAGTGAGCTGCTACATCCTAGATGCAACCCTGATTGATCATGCAGCGATTCCAGTCAGTGCACTGGCGAACACCAACGTAAAACTTAACTTGGTGTTGGCTTGCGCTTATTCTGGCCACCATCTTCGGCTTCGTGCTCGTCAACGCCGACTACACAACGTACCAAGGGCTAGACTCAGCCGTGAGTATCATTTTCATGACAACACTGTATCAAGGATACGTGTCGCACGCTGCTTGTCTGACCTTCACCCTGCGAAAACGAGCTGTCTTCTGCCGCGAGTGCGACGCGCAGACGAACAGTACTCTCTGTTACTCCCTCAGCATCTCGTTCGTCGAGATCCACATACGTCTTTAGCAGCAGTCTAATCTTCATCATTGTCTTCTTCCCTCTCCTCGGCATCTGGTCCTTCAGCAGGGCTGTGCTCTTCTGGCTCATCGACTCCCTCTCCGTGCTCGTGCAGAGAATCCTGGGACAGCTGCTCGTCTACTTGCTGTCAGTGGTGAAGTCGTTGCCTTTGAGGGAGTCCTTATTTATGTCATGTTCCTAATTTTTACTGGGCTCAATCCGCCTGCTGCTGCTACCCGGACCATTACCGATGGCTCTATGAAGTCACTCCACAGCGCTATTCCCTCTCGATCACGAGTCTCGCTCGTGTTTCAGCGCCAGATCCAATGTATGATGAGGTTACGAAGGGCTACACCAACGTGCGGTCGGAACTTGCGCGTTAACCCCTACGGAAGCACCGCTGTAGCGGAGCTACACAGCTCCGTAAGTCAGAGGAATACTTAACGCTCAACGAGCAACTTAGTCCTAAAGAACTAGACTCAATGAGTCAACAAGCGTAGACCTTATGGTTCTTGTTTCAGGGGACCGAACGATTCAGTGAATCGACAGCACTTAGTGCTCAAGAGTAACTAGCTATCTCAAGGAGGTGTTGCTAACTCTTAGTGATCAGCGATCAACGACCAAAGACGCCTCGCAAGGCACGTGTCTTTAAGATCAAAAGGGGAACTGGATTTATTTACACTTAAACCGAAAGAATATCCAAATCCTAATCTCGACACATTTGTCCTAAGTGAGTACAACTAAGATCTTTCCTATTTAGTGGCTGACACCAGTCAGCCCCTATAAACCTATAAGATATTCTACATCTTTCAGTGGGATATCATCAGTGTGTCTAAGAAACTGGGTACCAGTACCCAACTACGTGTAACTCCTTTACAACCGCCGTGTGAAGCTGTCCATCTCTCGAATGCGACACGAGTTTCTTTAAACTTGTTATACTCTTTTTCCTCAATACAAGTTGTACAAAAGCCAAATTCGAAGTCAATTTGCAATTTGCTGCCAGTGGAATGGAAGTTATTGGGACCAAGCTTTTCCCCTTCATCATAAATCTTTTCAGTATTCGTCATGATTTTCGTCGTCATGGGTGTCTCCAGTTTCGCGGCTGACTATAAGGCTGGAATCGCCCCGCAGACACTTGAATCTAGTGGCGGCAGTTTCAGTGTCAACAGGAATTTTGCCTTTTACATTATGATCAAGGTCAGCGCTCGCACTGCCTGTGCTGTGTGTCTGCATTTTGAAACAAAGTGTAACGGGTCACCCCTGAAGCTTGTACTGGTGACAGTACAAGCTACTTATTCTGACGACAGAATAAGGCGGTGCCTCGGAACTTCACGTACACTGGTACGTGCAGAGGAAGACGGTAAGAAGAAGCGAGTACTTGGTTAAAGTAAAAAGTAGAACTGTATTTAGTATAGTTAATGTCTGTTAATAAACCACTGTTTATCCTCATCTATGTCCAAATACAAATGTGTATATCAACTATCTGCTCACCACTCATTGCGTGCGTCTGTCGTGGCGCGTCTTCGTTGGTTGATATAATGGCCTATATCAACCAATTAGGAACTACTCGTAAGTGCTGTAGAATATTTGTCCTTATGACAATATTCCGAGAATATAACTCTTAAAGTTCTATTCTATTAACAATTTCTTATGAATTGTTGTGTAACGATTCACCCCGTTACACAAAGGACGATAACGAGTCAATGTGGTGTGGTCATCTGCACTATACGAGTCATATAAAGCTAGTGTTAAGGGTGACAGACATGGAAACTAAATTTGTCAATGCAAGCTTTTTAATCTTCGCACCTATGAACTCCTATATACATCATAGTACAGATAGCAAATAACCATTTAGCTAATTAGCTGTTCGTTAAAACGTTTTTACGGTGTTTGCAGTACGGAATAGAAAAATTTAAAGTACGGAATAGCCTCGCCCATGGGGACGACACTACGTCGGGATCAATCCATTGTTTTGTCACTAGTCATGTAGAGTTGATATCGATAGGCTCAGAGTAGAACAACGACACGAACCGAGGACCGAGCTGGATGATAATTAACTTTACATCGTACCTTCTGCAAAGCGTTCCCACCATAAACTGCCCTTGGCTGTGACCAAAAATTAAAAAGATATAAGCCCAACTACACTTGACGCGGACGACATACTTCGCGAAAGTAACTACTCCGCGTGGGAGTCCAACGAGAGGATTAGGCTGGAAAATAAGGGATTACTAAAGCATCTATTTTAGCGAAGCTGCCACAGCTCTAGAGTTAGAGGAAGAATTTACAGGTTAAGCCGGAGGCTTACGGCTAACAGCCAATTAGTTTTAAGGAACACTATATCAAGTTAAAGAGTCGGCTAGTTCTACGGAACATAGCGTGGACTCTATGAGCTATTAGCTCAGACCGCTGTGGCTCTAAGGAATTACACGCACAATGTGCAAAAGAGGCTACCAGAGTCTAAGGACTCGCTAATTCACGACAGTTCTACGGAACTGTCAAGCGCAATGTTCTAAAGGGTGGAAGTCAACGGAATTCTGCTCAAAATGAGTTCTGAGCTTATTTAGATTCACATCGAGGAAAATCTTACCTTTAGTACCGTTTATTCTACTAAAATAGATTAATTACAAATTTTAGAATTCGAACTTAATGGATGGTTGGCACATCAATCAGTCATCAAATGATGACGGTACAAAGTACTTCCACGATAATTACCTTCACTCAAAGAATACCGACTAATTGGCATTCTCTATTGATATCAAATCTAAGGCCACATTTTTCTCCCATATTACCTTTGGGAGGTCTTCGACCCTTTTGCCGATGTCTAGTGTGACCCCGTTACAGTCTAGACGCTATGAAGGCCCTAAAAGAAGGAGATGCAACTTTGCCAGCTTTTATAATTAACAACATGAAGGCTTTCGCGATTGTTTCAACAATGATAGGTACAAAATATCAGTCAATGGTGCGCACGGTGAAGACAACGGCAGAAGAATGGGACACAATGAAGACCTTTTTACTGCGAAAGACCGTGCATAATCGTGTGCAGCTGCAATGGAAACTACATGATTTTAAGCTGGCCAAGTTAGGGAGTATCATGGACCACTTCCTGAGATTTGACATGCTGCATTTGACTATGCAAGCTGTTGGACAAGAGATCTATCCATGTGAGCATTTGTCATGCTATTGGTTAGCCTAACGAGAGAATATGACCCCATCGTCAAGATAATTGTGAACATACCCGGAAAGACACTGTTTCACGCTAAGGAAATGCTGAGACGGAAGTACGGTGGAATGACGAGCACAGGACGTTAAAAAGTCGCACTGAAAGTAAGCACACTGAAAAGTACAAGATAGGATTGCGCCGACATGAAGGAAGATCAAGTTTAAGAGATTAATGTTCTCGGAAAGATGTTACTGATGTAACAAACATGGTCACAAGTGTCAAGATTACAAGGATGCACAAGTGGAGACAGAGCTATCTGGAGAAGAGAGAGCATTTACTAATATCAAGTCGGACTTCAGCTGGATGATCATTGGACAGTGGGGTAAGCAGCCACACGTGTCCCGACGGAGACGAGTTTTCAAATTTAGACTCACTGACGAACCCGATGATCACCATAGCAGATGGCAGAGAAGTGGAGGCTCAAGGTGTTGGAACATTGCGCGTACAACTCAGGACTGGTGAAGTGATCAGGATCGAAGAGACGCTATGGGCACCTGGCCTAGACTGAAGGCTAATGTCAATTTCGACATTGTCAAGAAACGGCTTAATAGCATTCTTATCGGATCTGAGCCGTCAGATCAGAATTAATGCGAAAGTCGTTGCTTAAGTACCAAGACGAAACATGGTGTACGTCTTTGAGTACAGTCTGGATGAGATCGCAAAGATATGCGAAGTGACGAATTAAAAAACATACTTCTATTAATGTATCATGAACGGCTGATCTATAGGTGTGGTATGCAAGATTCGGTTACCTACTAGAAAAGATGCTTAAGTGTTGTCGAGATCTGCGAAGGGTGCGTTATGAGCAAAGCGACCGTCAAGACGTTTCTGAAATCAACAAATGTACATGTTAAAACCAAGAAAGTGTTGGAGTTGGTCCACAAGGATGTCATGGGACCAATGGAAACGAGTCTTGAGGATGATCAAAATTGTCGTGACATGTATCGATGGTTTTTCGATGTATAGCAGCATGGTATATTGAAAGCAAGTCAGAAGTGACGGAAGGCTTCATCAAGTGCAAGGCACTTATGGAGAATCAAGTGTGCAAGAATTTTAAGTGTATTGGGACAGACAATGGAACAGAATACGTCAAGAGACGGTACTCTGGTAGATGTTGATAATTCGGTATCATGCACCAGACAACGGTACCTATTTGCCACAACTGTATAGGCAGGCTGAACGCAGGAGCCGGACACTGACAAAGCGGGCCAGGGCAAAGCTCAGTCATAACCAAGCGGAAAAAATATGGCGGACTGAGGAGATGAGCAAAGAAATCTATGTGACAAACCGAGTTACATGTTACAGTCGCCCGAATAAAACTTCATTTAAGATTATTTTCGTGAAGAAACCTGACCTCTCTGAGATGTTTGCATTTATTCAAAGAGGTATGCACATGTCTACAAGTCAAACAGGAGCAACGTTACCAAGAAAGCGATTCTGTATAGATTTTCCTGGATTACTTGGACCAAATCAAGGGGTTTCGAATATAGGATGAAGATGCCAAGAGGGTGACGCACACGAGATCACTAAATTTGATGAGCGACAACCACTTCAGTACGTGCAACGTTACAGCAGATCAAGTGACCAAGAAATTTGCGCTATTCATCATAAAGACGTTGCTTCTATCGATTTTAAGCAGTAAAGAGGTACGGAATTAGTGGACGTAGAAATGGATACATCACAAGTCAGGAAGAGAGTCATGTGCAAGATGGACGTACGACAACGATGAGTCTACCATTGAGATGCGTAGCAATATGCATGGTCAAGTGGAATCTGCTATGGAAGACATTTTGATTGATTTTGATGACGTGACAACTATTGAAGAAGTGCAAGACTCTATTGAAGAAGTTTTAAGATTAGAAAAGATGGC